ACAAACCGACAGACAGACAGGGCGACGGAAATGAGTGACATGATTTTTCTTGATGTACATGTCATATAACATCAAAAAAACATAATATCTCATTTTGGCGATTACAATACTTGTCCGCCAGTAGCCGCCGGAAGTAAAAAGATGTAATGCGTCCATGGTGATAAATATTTCATTGAAAAATAATCTAAAAATAGAGTAAGAAGTAATAACCATTTCTTTTATCCGAAATCTATAAATGTCACAAATACCACAGTAACATGAAGAAATCGCGACCAGCCTAGAATATGGCACGCCCCTTCAATCGTGCAGACCACTAAGTGGTGCAACAGCAGGTTGATGTGCGATTTCGCTCGGTGCTTTACGTAAACACCCAGATGTGAAATACTAGATCTAGAAGATTCTCAATTGACACATAACATGGGCCATAGATAATTGTACGCGGGGTTCTACTTTGCGGTATCTGCATAATGTGCGTCTTGGAGACAAAAGACCAAGCCGCGCGCGCATAAGTCATTGCCCTAACTACAATTCTTCTATACTCGAATGCAGTTGATCAAATTTAAACTTTATTTCGTATATAACAATGGATATATCTGACATAAAATAATTTGAAATTTTGTTTTGAAAATATCATTGTATTTCTACTAGGTCAACCCCTCATCAAAGATACCGGACAGAATATGTATGTACAATGTACATAAATGAGTCCCGTTCCCTGAGATCTCTGACATTGCCCATTCATTTGTTTTAGTACTACACTTTAACTGCTTTTTCTCACCAACATAAGGAATGGGCATTATTTACCGCATTCCTATAAGGAGAAGTTACATTTACTCCCCTAGATCAGTGTTCGCTAAGTGTGTTGAGCTACTTTGATAATTTTGGAATAAACAGTGGGCTACCTAGTCGTAAGCAAAGTAGCAAAGTAAGCCAACTTAAATGCATTATATATAGTTGTATGCGACATACATGTGTTTCTTGTACTAAAAGTAATACATACTAATAAACTTAAATAAACTAATATCTAATACATACTACATAAATACATCCATTCCTACTAATCGTAGGTGTTTGAAAAATAAACAAAGTTTTTCGTCAGCTCCAATGGCATGTCACATACGATTTAAGAAAGGTAACTAAAAATAAAAAAGGTAACGCACTATTTTAAACAAAAGCATGTCCAGATAAAAAAATACGTCAGATAAAATATGTTGTGAGCCACCAGAATTGCCTTTGCGAGCTACCGGTAGCTCGCGATCGACGGGTTGGCGACCGCTGCCCTAGGTAAATAAAGATAATAAAGAATCGTAGGTGAATAATGAATGAGTACAGTCACCATATTCTCCAGCTTGTTGAGTTCTGAATTCTCACTGCTACCAAACTACTATTGCCAATAATTATTCTTTACTACAAGTAAATACAAAATATTTCATGACTGAAATAATTGTTGTTTATTTATTTCATTATTGTGACAGCTTGAAAGTCCCATGCTTCTTGAAAATTTGGAGTTTTTGTAAACGAGTGAGAAACGAATGATGTGTCGACATACGTAGCATCTTCTATCTTTGTCCCACTTTGTCACGTAGCGGCAGCATCCCTCTTTTACTCGCTCTTCTGTGAGGCAGGCATTGCGCATTGCGTCGGCTTTATTCTAACAATTGCCGGACGTCCAGAGAATTCTCAGGCATGCTATATTTTAGTCTATTCAAATTTAATGTTGTAATATGTCACAGTAGTGAAAATTTTATACAGACTTAGCAAAGATAAGTTTGTATTGTATTATTTCGAAATAATCATGCACCGCATCTTGCAGGCTAAGTGAGTCAAATAAAGCTAAGAATAAATACCTTTCAGGTCAGATTCCACATCTGCGTTTCGTGAAACCTCCCCAGTGATTTACGTTGATACTCCGAGATCCTCAGATGCACCGCGAGTTCTTCCATTTTAACTTTTGCCGATAAATTCAGTTGTTGGTGTACGCGCAGTAGGAGCGGCCAAATGAAAATCTACCGTGGAATGTAGAATGCCGCCAGTCCGATTGTGTCGCGCCTGAATATTTATAGCCTTGTGTTCTAATGTAAATTGAAAAGACCCGAGTTTAACCAGCTGCCTTTGTTCGGATACCCAAATGCATGTCATGCTTTTGGCCAGTACCAATTCAGAACAAATTATAAATCACGTATTGTGATCCTTGTTCAAATCGTATATTCAATTCCATGACCTATAATATCTTTCGATTTATTTCCAAACAAAATAATCAAATATGGTCTAATTGTCCAAAACACTGACTTTTGCAATACTGTCTTAGAACGAGGATTATGTTTTTCGCGCGTATGTATTCTTTGAACGGGTCAAGACAGCAAAGTGAAATAAGGGGTGATGGAATTCATTCTATATTTCAACGTAAAAATAACAGAAGAAAATTTCAAGATGGCGCCATCTTGAAATAGTTTCTTAAATGAAGTGGGGGGTCATGGATACCTCATTTCGAAGCTCGTTGAAGGGTACTTTATGATGTTAGAGTATAAAATCACAATCCCTCAATATGGGGGATTGGCAGGCTCTCAAAGTTAACCATTTTTGTACATTGAATCGCTTATACCTCAGCAACTAGTCATCAAAACACTGTAGTATGTAATGTACTTTATGATGTTAGAATATAAAATCACAAACCCTCAATATGGGGGATTGGCAGGCTCTCAAAGTTAACCATTTTTGTACGTTGAATCGCTTATACCTCAGCAACTAGTCATCAAAACACTGTAGTATGTAATGTGAATTTCTGTAATTTTTCTGAAACAAAACGTACAATGTTGTAATTAAGCACTTAGCTAGTTCTTTCGAAAACAAGAAGATTAATATATAATATAACCTTTTGATTAGTTGTCGAAGTATAAGCGATTAAATGTACAAAAAAATACCAATTTTGACAGCCCTTCATTCTATCATTTTGAAAGGCAGTGATTTTATATTCTAGGGTCATAATAATAATAACAGTAATAATAAATACTTTTGTTTGCAACAAGATATAAAATACAAAAGCATAATATCTATTCCGTCCAAAAAACAGCTTGTCGCTTAAAGACAGCTGGCATAGAATCCCACTCTTCCACTCAATCTAAATTAAAATTACACGTTCAAAATATCTTATCCTATAGACCCCACACTCAATAATTTTAGAGACATGTTTAGAATCAGAGCAAAATAAAAAAATTTACACAACAATAGCAATTTTAAATATGTTTTGAATTCCTTTTGACGTAAACTTTTGAGCTGGATAAGAACCCCGATGTAGAATTTTGGCGCCAGGTATGAAAATTATGATTGGTATTGGCGGTACCTGAATGTTCAGCAAGATTTCCACATCGGGGGTGGGAGATGGATGCTGGCGATTAATAATTGAATCCTCCTCAATTTTTACCTGACATTTTTAGGCTAATTAGTGGGTTGAGACCTCTACTTGACATATCTTTTAATGGCGTAGGAGAAATTCACAGTTTACCTTGATACTGGTTGACTTTCGTTTTCGCTGCATGAAAAGTTTTATACTTTGCTTCCTCCTATATCACTTAACTTAATCTTAACTATATCACTTAACCTTTTTTCATCTACTCTGTGTAATACTATGTTTACTCTCTAACGTTTATCTACTGCTATTTATTTAACAACACAAAATGTATCCAAAAGCTATCCAAACCAGAAACTCCATACCCCATTTGGAGTATCTGAAATTAAAAGCTTAAATGCGGGGATCCGTATTACGATAGCGTCGATATTCGAATCTGAGCTCCTTCCGACAATTCGCTCAAATAAAACCCCGTTTTGGATGCATGGTACCGCAACAGTTAAACCCAGCTCCAATAACCGGAACCGAAACCACTGGAATAGGAATTCAAATCATCCGAACCAGAAACGAAACGATCGAATCGATTCCTATAAGGTGATCAGAATCGATTCCTCCAATTCCCTCTGCGGTATCGTTTCTTTGGAATTACTCTTTCTGAACCGACCCAGATGTCTCATTGAATTTACGGTGAATGTGCTTATCAAAGATCGGTAAACTTTTTAGAAATGATGAAAGTGTATACTAGTTTGATTGCAGAGGTATCTGCCACGTATTTGAATAGACAGATTAACGCCTAGTTCAATTTATGGTGACTGCAGTAATCAATCCTCCAAATGGTCATAGCAAGATTGCAGATTAAAATAAATGTGAACTGGGGCTCTTACGTCTGACTTGTACGGGGTGACCCCCCTGTAACTTTTTTTTATACCCGTTTAAAGAGATACGTTCTACATAAAAATTATAGGGTATATTATAAAGTTTTCCATATAGGACCTTTTTTGTATTTAGGCTCTTTCAGAAAAGCCCGACTAAGTTGTATTTTCTTAAATCGAACACCTGGTATATTTTTAACGGAAGTGGTAGTCCCTTCCAAGTGCATGTATATAGCTTGGCATACCTAGTTTTATTGTTTTAGTCAAAAGTATCATCTAAACATGCATATCCGCTCTAATTCCAGATTACATAGGCGGTCGGATACACTGAAATACACATCAATGAATGACACAAAACTTAAGTTTTTAACTAAAGTTATTTGGTACCAGCAAAAAAGCGACTATAATCTACATGGAAAACATGTAGGGTGTTCCATTAAAAAAAAGACTTTATTATGAACACTGCATAAAAAGCTCTATATCAAACATCATAACTTTTGTATAGAACTTTTTTATAAAGAGTCATAGAAAACGGTTAGAGAGAGTCAGTTTATATCGGGACACCTGGATAGCAACCCCAAAGATACACGTTCTTCCTTTATGGAGCTCTATATTTCATAGAGTTGCCTGACTTTTTTTGTTAAAAGCAATATGTATGCGCATATTCAAGAGTCACGGAGGACTGGATAAGCTTTTTTAATAAATAAATTACCTATATGTAATTCGATACCTTTAAGTAAGTTTTTGAGAACATTAAAATTCAATCTTCTCTTTTTTTTCAGGTACCAGATGATCTTTCTGCTCATTACATACGTAATTCCTATGACGTTGATGACAGTTTGCTATACAATCATGGGGAAAGAACTTTGGGGATCAAAAGCCATCGGTGAGAAGACACAGAGACAGATGGATGCGATACGGTCTAAAAAGAAGGTAAGAATATGCGATGCAAAGCACTAAGGTCAAAACCCCAGACAAATAAAAGCTTTTGAAATCGAGATATCACGTTTTTTGGATGTTATGGCATGATAAACCATGCCTATCAAATCCATCTGCCTGTTTATCTGTCAACTGTTGTTTCTATACAATCATGGGGAAAGAACTTTGGGGATCAAAAGCCATCGGTGAGAAGACACAGAGACAGATGGATGCGATACGGTCTAAAAAGAGGGTAAGAACATGCGATGCAAAGCACTAAAATCAAAACCCCTGACAAATAAAAGCTTTTGAAATCGAGATATTACGTTTTTTGGATGTTACGCCATGATAAACCATGCCTATCAAATCCATCGGCCTGTTTATCTGTCAACTGTTGTTTGCTATACAATCATGGGGAAAGAAGTTTGGGGATCAAAAGCCATTGGTGAGAAGACACAGAGACAGATGGATACCATACGGTCTAAAAAGAAGGTAAGAACATGCGATGCAAAGCACTAAGGTCAAAACCCCAGACAAATAAAAGCTTTTGAAATCGAGATATTACGTTTTTTGGATGTTACGCCATGATAAACCATGCCTACCAAATCCATCGGCCTGTTTATCTGTCAACTGTTGTTTGCTATACAATCATGGGGAGAGAATCCGAAAAAGTAAAAAAATTAATATTGTTGACGTAATCACCAATACCCAAAAATAAGCAAAGCAAAGATCCCTGCCCCCTTTAGTGCTCACATAATACTTCAATGGGCCCAAAGAGTCGAAAAATCTAAATTTAGTTTTTACGTGGGTTGTCGTATTGTTATATCTTCAGATTTGTCGGTTTCATGAACTATTCTTTAAATATCATTTCCAGCAAATGAACTGCTGGGGCTACGAATATCAAACTTTTTTCGTTTAATATTTTGGTAGTATTAAGAACCACGCAAATTACCGAAAGGGGTAGAAATAAGTTCGCAAGTAGCGGAAGTAGCTGTATAAATACACGAAGAAGTCATATAAAGCTAATTTACAAGGGAAGTAATTGTCCTTGATTTTTTGCGAAAACAAATTTTGATATACGTTTCGGAAAATTAAATTTGTCTTTGGAGGTCAAATACGCTTAGGAGCCAATATGTAACAAACTAAGTTGGGTGCACTGTATTTGTATAGACCAATTTTACAATATTAAAAACTTATTTGGCATATAGCGGTAAGTATCGCTCATGGGAGTCAACTACCAGATTGGTATAATTAAATATTATGAAATCTGACAGCTATATGAGGTAGAGCCGGTCTCAGATAGTAAGCAAGTGAAGCAACAGCATCAGGGCGCAGTGTTATGGAGAGCGCAAAATTCTCAAACAAGGGCGGGTCCAGGGGAGGGGGGTCGCCAAGTCAATTCTCCCGCACCCCCTTCTGTTATCAGAAAGGCATTAGCACTGATGCAGCCGAGCTGCCCCCCCAACCGCCCGCTCTTCAGTTATTAGAAGCACTGATGGAGCAGAGCAAATTTCCATTCACCAGTAGCACTCCCACCCCCGAGACGACAACTCCATAAGTGACCTCTGACTGAAAGACTTGATTCGCTCTTGTTTCTAATTGTTGTGGGGGGAGCATATTTCGTCTTATGCCTCAGGGCGCACAAAACTTTGGCGGCACGCAGGTACTGTTTATATCAGATATTTACAGACACACTTCTACATCTACGTATTTCACGTCTCAAGATATATCAAACTGTATTTTAAACTTATATCTATTCAAAGTGTTGTGTAAATTTGAGACAGTATTCACATACTGCCTCTTAGTAACACTGTGCAAATGTTTAGATATGCCTGGAAGTCTAAAACATTGAGACATTGTGTAGTGAAATCTGAATAGTAATTATTATGAGCCTGAATATCAAAGTTGGATAAGCGCCCATACAACAAGCAAAAGTACTGAATTGGCTCGTCGGGACTTAGTGTAACACATTTTTGGCAATAAATCATTAATATTTTTATTGACAAGTAACGCATCAACTGGACAGTAAAATCAAATAAGGAAAAAAAGTTCAATTGCCTATATAATACGCAAGTATTGTGTAGGTGATTGTACGAGTACATCAATAATTCAAGTATCAATTGAACAGGGAACCCTACAAAACACAGGTAAGACTGATAAACAAGTTTTGCAAATATGATCGACATTACTTGTACAACTAGATTTGTAACGTGAAGTTAATTCACACTTATTGTTCTTAGTGATTTTGTATTCAACTATCATATTTTTTCAAGTCTTAGTATAAAAACCACTCTTATGAGTCTCCATAAACTTAGTATGTGCTCCAACCATCCATAAGGATATTGCATAGCTTGCGGATTAGAAGGTCCGTGCCCTCCTGAAATAATGCTGTATGTATACCATCCGATTTTGGTTTGTTCAAAATCAACTATGGATCTTGCTACCTGCTACTTGCTTTGATGATCAAGTGCCTCTACCAGGCAGTTTTCTGTATAAGTGTATCTTCAGAAGCTCCCAATAGCCTCTTTTCAGTTAGAAGTAAATCCATCGTTTCCTGTTTTGATGTATTTATTGAGCTGAGAGGTCCCTCCCCTGAGAATTTTTCGAAGCATTCTGAGGTCTGTCCTTAGAGCCTTGTAATAATATCATTGCTCAGTTCCTTTGCCGAGTTGAACTTGCACCTTATCCTGCTTCTCAGATTTGCAAGATCGTTAGACCACCAAGGCACGTTCCTTTTGGCTTGCTTGCCTACTAGATTGCAGTTATGGTAGAAGGCGGTTATGACAGCGTCATGCGGTTATGCCACTGCCAGATCAAGTTCAGTCGTACCGTTTAAGGAAGGACTCCAGATGTTGGTTTAAACAGATCCTGTACCCTTTCCAATCTGTCCTCCGAAGAGGACATCACGTTGATAGGTGCCAAGTCTCCTAAGTTGATTAATTTAATCTGTTTGTGATCCGAGAGTGACACCTAATCAGTCACTTGTCAGTTCATAACTTTCTAAGTAGCTCTATCACTGCAGTGGTAGGTGGTGGATCTGGTCTATCGAATGGAGGGTACTTCAATCCAAGCGTAAGCATCGTTATCGAGTTTCCATTCCCAGGCTGGATCCTTACTGCAACGAGGTCCTTCGTTGTGAAATTCGTCGAAGGCAGTAGTTTTGTGCTTTTTCTGCCTAGAATGCATGCTCTTGAGCAGGCGGACGATCTATTGAAGGTTAGTTCTTCTCTCCTCTTTTATCTAGCGATCCTAGATGAGTGCCACATCCAACTCAGCCTAGCTGTGTTGGAGGTTCGCCTAAAGTCATCAAGTACTCTGAAGATTATCCTGTAAAAGAACTCTCAGGTCACCTCACTAATCGTTGGATGGTTGAATTGTCAGTTTGTTTCTCGTCCTGTTCCGCGAGGAACACAAGCACCCTGCTTCAAGGACGTTACTGTCTCCGAAAGCCCTGCTTTAGTCCGATCCTTAGCGCTGGTCCTCCAGAGAATCCCTCCGCTAACTGTAGAGTTTAGGAATTGTAGAAGATGAGTGCTTGTGCTCTCCTCACCATGTACCCTTCCTAACCTCCTTGAGACAAGATCCTCTTGCATCTGGTCAAGGGTTAATCCCAGATGGCGTCTGTCAATTATCGCCCGGTTTATGGTTTTGTGTATTAGATTTGAGGCTTTTAATCCCAGGAAAAAATCCTACAGACGTCCGTTGTTTGCGGAAGGCATTCCATTTTTATTATAGCACGAATACGGATATAATTAAGGTAATGGTATCCCGGAATCTAGTAAACGATTAATTATGGTGAAATGATATAGCGTTTCAGGGTTATTCTACCAGAAATAACCAACGATCCACACAAAAAATTACGTCAGATTTGTCCCGTACGATACAACTAATATGTTTAGAGAGTTGAGAGCTAACATAAAATAACAGCTCGACATAAATTATACTGTCCTATTGTGAGGGTTAAAACATTTAGAAGGATTGGAATTTTTGCGGTCTGATTAACAGTCATTGAGCCCTTTACCCTGTACACGGTGATCCAAGAAAAGCACACATAGTACATCCAAAAATGAGAAAAAAGAATATCTAGACATACCTGGATTATAAAATGTTCCATTTCCAAGATCCAGATTCCGTAAGATCAAGGTACTTTGTCTTAAAATAATGATAGACGCTTGTTTTAGTTATTGAAATGTATGTTTATTGGGAAAACGACCAACGTATGTATTTTCTAAAAACATAATAAAGTAGCTTCTAAGTTAGGCTCATTTTTTTCATAAAATTTGAGCCAAGATTGTACGTTGTAGATGGTGTCTAACCACGTGGTTTTTAAGTATCAACTCAAAAAAGCGGGAAGTATATTGATATTTTTAATTTAAGTACACTTTCCACAAAAATTAATCTAATTGATTATTTTTATCCCTAAATTATTTCAGGTAAACTTATATCTGAATCTGATATAGTTAATATCACAAAATAACTTCAACTGACCTGATAACTTTCATCAGAAATTTTGTATATTAACAAATTCACGTATTTTTTAGGTAGACGTTAATTAGACCTATGTCAAATTGACAGTATCTATCGTTACTAACCGAACTACGTCAGTACCTCCCGCTAGGCTGGGGTGGCGTGAAGTTTAAACTTTTCAACAGTTTGGGTTTGAGTGGCACTCTAGGGCTAATGTACCCAGATCTTACAGTAATGGAAATTGCTCCGCTGCATTTTGGACAAAACATGATTTTTCTTCAAATACACTTACATGCTGTGGTGAGATAGGATTCCTCTCCCAATACATTACATAATTTTTTTGTATCTCATCGTTCACCAACTTCAGAATACTATTTTCAAAGTAGAACCAATTTGTTTTCTTTATGTGGATTATATCTCAAATGTTTAAGTCTATTCTCCAAAACGGGAACATTTGATATAAAATTAAGTACCTTATTTCCGGTGTTTCTAGAGTTCGCCTTTTCTGCGGGGTGCCTAGCAGAGTTAGTGCGTAACTTGCGACTCATATGAAGTATATGACAACATTGTTTCCGTTCTACACATCAACTCTGGCGGAGTAGAGTGGGGCAAGGGTGGCGCCCCCCCCCTCCCCATATGCTCAAGTCTTCCAATTGTTTGAAGTAAATGGTATATATAATTAACTTGGTAGGCCTAAATCGTGCGACGTGCGCCCCCCCCCCCCTAGTCGCATTCCACTTCCCGCTTTTCAATTTTATCAGGGCATTTGGTCCCAGAAACGCTGCTCATGTACTTGAGCAGGCAGCGGCGTCCCCGTCTGCCCTTGCACTACCTTTTCTGCACAATAAATTAGATCCTCAGCCTCGCGGATGGCAGCACTTTACATTTGGACATTCAAAATGCTGGGCCATTACGATCGGCTTAGAGAAGAGATCTATTAGAAGCGACCCTCTAGCGGAATACTTGTTGGTTATCACTGGCAAGATTCGCTACAGTAACTAGCAAAAAGCACCCTAACTCACATCCGTTTTTGATAGATGAGCAAGCCTTGTCAGGAAACCACTCGTTTCGGATTGTAGAAGTTCAAGACATTGAGGATATAATTTGACAAGCACACATCTCGGCAATTGCTAAGTAAGGTGATGGAGAGGTGCATAAATCGGGAGCTTCTGGAGTACCTCCAATATCACGGCTTGATTAGGGATAGGCAGTGTGATTTCCGGCACCAGCGATCCACGAAGAACCTCCAAGCTAACCTCACGCAACTGTGGATTAAACTCAGCCAGTCTCATGGTGAGGCTCATATTGTTGCTCTTGATATCACGGAAGCGTTCGGTCAGCCATGGTATGCTGCCTTCTTAAACAGATGGATCTTATGGCCTCCCAGAGAAGCTTTACAAGTGGGTGGTCAACTTCCTCTCTAGTCAGCTTCATCCCACAATTTCAACGAGCGGCTTTCTCTTTGACGAGTGACCTGGTGGTTCTCACTACTTGGGGACGCAACAATCTAGTACAGTTTAAAGCTTCCATAACTGTACTTGATACTTGACTATTAAGAAGCACTCTAGCCCTCATCCTAGTTCTACTAACTTTAGGCAGTTCAAAAATCGGATTAACAAAGTTTGTTTAACTTCCTTATTGCAGCCGCGGTTGCCCTGGTATTTATTCTTCTGTACACGCGGCTGCTTCAGCATAGAATAAAACAAGGATTACTTTAATCGCCCCAGAACTTTTTTGTTTAGGAAAGCGATAAAATTCTGTATTTTGTACGAGGTAATTTTTAGGCTAGGGACGTTATGTAACGTGACAAATATGCATTGCAGGATAGTTGCTTCCAAATACTTCTTTATTTTCAGATCGTGAAGATGTTTATACTGGTAGTACTGATATTCGGTCTATGTTGGCTGCCGTACCACGGATACTTCATCTATGTATACTTCGATACCAGTATCATCTACCACCGGTACACGCAACACGTGTACTTAGGCTTCTACTGGTTTGCAATGTCCAACGCAATGGTAAACCCTGTTATCTACTATTGGATGAACGCCAGGTAACAGTCAACGTATGTACTATTAAAGGAATTTAGAATATCATGGAATCCAGTTTTTTTAATGGATGATAATAATAAAACGTTTTTATTGGTCGAAGCTTAGCATCCGATATTCTACAACTCAACCCGTGAAATAAAAATAATAATAATAATAAATACATAATATAAACGAGATAAACGTCACATATATGTTTAAATATGTTTAGACTCAGTAAAATCATTGAAAAGGCCATTGAGCTGAGTAAAGGTAGAAGTGAATTTTAAATGTGCATGCATATCATGGAAACCAATAGGTATACATGGCCCTTCAAAAAAACCTAGTTATATTTTATGGAAGAAAGTACAACCAAAAATAACAAAAAAAAGTTCCTATAAACATAGGTCCCAAAATGATACCCCATTACCAAGATACAGCAAGCTGTAGATTTCTACGCCACTGACGAAAATGAATAAAGACAAAACATGATATACAGGGTGTTCCTTAATGATATGCGAATATTTAAAAGTGTGAATCTACATGAAAAAATAATGTTAGTTTGCTTCATAAACTATGATCAAAGAATGTTTCCTTACAAAAACTCGGGGTGTTGCAGTTTTAGGGAAAAAATGGAAATTAATTAATATTTTCAGAACCGCTTCAGATATTTCACTGATATTTAGCACTTAGTGAAGCTAATAAAGTTGCATATTTTTCAATGCACAAATAATTTTTAGCTGTAACAGTGGCGTGCGTACGGGTATTGACTTCGATATTTTTCAAGAAAAAAATAGTACGGCAATGGTTTTTTGCCAAATAAAAATTATTTTTGAATTGGCCGTTGAATTTACAATAAATGATCTCTCTTGAATTGTTTTCCTTGGATGCGCCATTTCTGAGTAAAAAAATAAAATCCGTTCTATTGTCCGAGAAACTTAAACTAATAATAAATGAAGAATGCAATTTAGAAATAAATATCTAGTTGCTCTGGAAAATGTCACTGGTTTTTGACATCTGACAAGGCTCTGTTATTCAAATCTGTTCGCTGTGATATCTTTTTTATTATTTAGTTTTTATAGTCTTGTTAATAATGGTGAATTATTCAAATGCAGAAGTGGCGGAAATGCATTAAGTAGGTATATGGCCTTGCCGACGGTAATGGTGAGCAAGCCAGACGGATTTATCACCAGAGATATCCCGGTCGTGCTTTGCCAGATAGTCGAACCTTTTCTAATATTCATCGACGTCTTGTTGAAACTGGTTCTGTCCGAAAAGGAACATCTGAAGGTAGACCTCTAAGTGTGAGAACATCTGAAATTGAGGAAGCAGTGCTGCACGAAGTCGAAGAACGTCCTGAAACGAGTACGAGGAAGATCGCTAGACACTTAAATATTTGCCATCAAATTGTCTGGAGAATTTTAGTTTAGTGGATTTTTTGTTAAATCCTTGCCATATTTTAAGAGTACAGGCATTACTTCCCATTGATTTTCCAAGGCTTTTGTCAATGGTATCTTCAAAAAAATTACACAAAATCCGCAATTTGAATCAATGATTCTATTCACGGGCGAAGCTAATTCTTCTCGAAATGCGATTCAGAATTTCCACAATAATCATTTGTGGGCAGAAGAAAATCCCTATGCGGTAACCGAAACCCATTTCCAACACAATTTTCGGTAAACGTATGGGCAGGATTTATTGGCAACCACTTTATTGGCCCAGTCTTCTTGCCGGGACGACCTGACGGACAGACTTACCTCAATTTTCTTCAACAACAGTTGCCTTTGCTGGTTGATGATGTTCCGTTAGTAATAAGAAACAATATGTGGTACATGCATGATGGTGCACCAACACATTTCAGTGTAGCGGTTCGTAATTATTTACAAACCTTTTATCCAGATCATTGGATTGGCCGCGGTGGGCCCCAAGAATGGTCACCAAGGTCCCCAGACCTCAACAGTTTAGATTTCTTTTTGTGGGGCTATCTTAATACACTAGTGTATACAAGTCCCATTAGCACGGTAGAGGAATTAAGAGAGAGAATAGTTGCAGCTTGTGATAGAATAAAAAGCACTCCAGGGATATTTCAACGAGTGCGCAATTCCATGAGAAGGAGGGCGGAAGCATGCATACTAAGTGAAGGGGGCCATTTTTATCAACTTTTCTAATCATTTCGTTGGTTTTAATGTTACGTTTACTTTGTCATTTGTTGTTGTTCATTACCCCTAATGTGTTTAATTTTTCCAATTATATTAATAATGATTTTGCAAGTTAGACAATAGAACCGTTTTTATTTTTTTACTCAAAAATAGCGCATCGAAGGAAAACAATTCCAGATAGATCATTTGTTTTAAATTGAACGGGGAATTCAAAAATAATTTTTATTTGGCAAAAAACCGTTGGCGTACCATTTTTTTTTCTTAAAAAATATCGAAGTGAATACCCGTACGCACGCCACTGTTAAAGCTAAAAATTATGTTTACATTGAAAAATATGCAACTTTCACTACGTACTAAATATCAGTGAAATATCTGAAGCGGTTCTGAAAATATTAATTAATTTCCATTTTTTTCCTATACCTTCAAAGTTTTTGTAAGGAAACATATTTGGACCATAGTTTATAAAGCAAACTAACATTAATTTTTCATGTAGATTCGCATCCTTAAATATTCGCATTTCATTAAAGAGCACCCTGTATACCATGTCCAATTTAGTCGAGTTTAGAGTATTTCCAAGTAGAAAGGGATGATGTATTTATATTTTATATTTACGTCAAATACTCAATGATTTTTTTCTCCAATAGCCGGTTCATGAAAAATTGAATACTATTATAATATGCAATATAGTCTGGTGTCATAGAGAATAATTCTCTTTTTTCTGCTGTATGAGTCAAATTAACCAATTTCTATGCCACTGGTACACTCTAAGACAGTGTTGAATGTATTGGTTATGATGCCATTACTATATGTACAAAGTGTACGTCAATATCTTAGTTCATTCCGAAGATATATTTTTTTCGATTTCATTGGTGAGTCAGTATGACATTTCAGAACCCATGTTTATTTGAACTCTTCGTGTTAGTTTTCGGTCTACTTTACGGTCTAGAAAGATTGCCTTATTTGTCTGAAACACTCCATATAGTAAATATGTATGTATGTATATAAGCAGAAGTAAGAGATACAGTTAGGAGGATTGTTGTTCTAGGATGAATTGTTTCAAATATTTTTTTAAAAAATTGAGGCGTTTTACATCGTAACAGCATTATGAATAACATTTATTGAAAAATTCTACGAGGAGACATCTACATTCAAACAGGGATGGAAATCGCTTTTTTCAATTTTAGATTCCTTTTTTTCCTGTTGGTGTTACGTCGTTTTGTCCTTTTTGGCTAATCCTCAGCATGATCTAGGTATGGGTCTCTCGAACAACGAACGAAAGCATGTATCATAAGTTACTGTTCGCAGTGGTCCATTCTAGTAGTAGATAGCATTTCGCACCGTCTTCTTAAGTGACATGACAGCAAAACAAACTTTTCATAATTAAAATATCAAACATGCCTACAAGAGAAATACACTTGAATACTATGGAAACACTGATCGATCAAAAACCTTCTCAAATTTTTTTTGAAGGACTTCATGTTAGTTTGTGACCTTACATTGTGAGCTACGGTGATGACACTGTGGTGCTATATACAAATGAAAACTGGACAGAAACGTAGCACAAAATGATCTTTGTAAAATCAAAGACTGGTTTGATAGTAAGTTATTAACAGTAAATTTTGAAAAAAACTAATTTTATTCCTTTCACATCGTATGCCAACAAAGTGCCACCTTACGATCATCTTCAAATAAAAAACACTGAGGATAACAAATGTGAAATAAAGTAAATGGTGTAAAATATTTAGGAATTTGCATAGTTGCACGCCTCGGGTGGGATATGTATAAATCGTATGTCGAGAAAAAGTTGCAATCGGTTCTATATAGAATAAGAAGTATTAAAAACATACTAGAGTATTGTCAATTAAAAATACTATATCATGTATTGGCAGAATCTCACATAAATTATGGTATAACAGCATGGGGAGCAGCAGACATAACTCATATATTCATGATTTCGATGAAACAAGCAGATATGTTATCCGCATAATCTGTGTATTTAATGGTGGGCAAAACATCTGATATCTGATTGACATATACGAGGATGAGGCAGTGTTATACGCTTCTGAATTGGCGAATTGCTCAAAAAATTATAAAAACCATTTAAAAAATGCCTTAGATAAACTTTCCAGTATAGTTACTGCTCTACAATTATTCGCTCTTTTTTCTTATATAATGGAGTCTCTTTAACTGTTTTCATTTTACTTGAGAATTACCCAGATAGGAAAGACTTTTTTAGGGGGTATGTAAGTGGTTCTACTATCAAAGAAAGATTGTATAATTAAGAATACTGGTATGTCGTCGGCACCACTCCGTGAAAGATCTCAAAAATAATAAAATACTTTGAATGTATTTTTGGAATGTGTTTAGATTGAATTCCTATCACTATTTATTTTGTGCAAAGTGTAAATCTTCCTTTGAGCTTCTGAGCAATTTGACATGGATCCTGTACTAATGTACGGTCAAAACTAATTTTCAAGTTTTGGTTCTACCGCAATTACAAGCGAATCGCGCTCGCTACACTCAATTAACTTGGCGAGATGAATTTGAATATGGCCATCCGAATATTCTGAAACGTAGTTGGACCGAATGTAGGGTATAAAATCAGCGGCAAGTCCTTCCTTCGACAAGGAATTCGATTTACCGAGACAACGGGTTTTCATTTAGATCACAGATAAACAACGATCTTTGAAAGGTTCTCAAGCAGATTTTCCATTTCCGCCATCCATAGCAAAAAGCGTAATCCCAAAAATGGTCATCAAATAATTATACTGCGTTAGACTTTTGGAGGATGAGCTTCCATAGACCCCTTGTCAATCCTAGCACTAAATTGACTACGAACTCAGAATGTACCCAGCCGATTTACCATATGATATAGATAATAATTAATAAATACGTCACATAATGACTATAAGAATATGAACACATATACACGGGCGTGTGCGAGTTAAGGTTGTACGAGCTTTTTTCTATGCAAAATTTATATTTTCCTTATCTGCGACGTTGACAGAGCAGGGCAAAATTTTTGAGAATTGCAATCCTGTAATACTCCGAGAGTCATCATTTTTACCCTGATCACGCTCTAAAGGATCCCGCTATAAGCTTATGGACTACTTTGCTCTTCAATTGTGACCAGACATTCTCTTTATTACAAGAGAAAATGCCCGTAAACGGAGCTCCATTTTTATAATGAGTTTGAAGAATATGAAAAATATCTAAAAGTATGTTTTAAAAGCGTAGAACGTTTACTTTGTAACTTTAAGCATTTACACGTTAGTAACTTGTAGTTTGAAATCATCACTAAAAGAGTAACTTACAAAAACCTTACAAACTCCTAATTCGGAAAAATAGGTGCCAAAACCAAACCCCGAGTAAAAATTGTCAATCATCAATTAAAATTTTATTCTTAAGCAAGGATACAGGATATACAGTGTTACTGTTAATTTACCATACTCCTTCCAGGACTAAATAGGTGTCCTCAAATGCAACTAATTTTACCTTATATACAGGCTGTCCGGAAAGAATAATCCTGCAACTGGAAATAGGTCACATCATGACCTACTAACGACAATTTTTTTTTTTTTCAGAAAAAATCGACACTCTTCTAGTTATTATATTGTTATTTCTACAATTCACAACTTTTTGAGCTCGGCGTCTCTCAAGATATCCACAATTGATTGTTTCACAATTTAGAAATCAGGGTTATTTGATTCTTGTGTTATAGCGAAATCCACATGAGATTATTCTTTTGCAACATTGCAATGGAAACCAATGCCTAGCTTTGACACAGTAACAAAGAATAGGCCGAGACCAGCGTGCCAAAAGCTTGAAATTTATCTGCTATTTTCTTATATCAATTTTTAGTTAAATTCGTCAAGTTTCTGATATATCGAAAAACTGATTTTATGACGCAAATAAGAACTAATGGCAGGATTCTGATAGTAGATTTGACCCCATTAGCCATTTTGCGTGTCCTACATATCTTAACAATAGAAGAATCCCTTAGTTTCCGAGAGTATCCGCTTTGAAAAATTTTCTTGGCGGCCGATCAGATTTTACCACGCAACTGTAACATAGAAACTACCTCAGGCAATTCCAATGAAAAAAAAAACTCTAGGAGATCCTGATCTGACGATCTAGGTGAATACACGATATGAGATATTAGCAATAGAAGAGGTGCCAGTGGCAGACCTCGAATGGATGTTGTCGAGGAGGTTTTGTATGAAGTGAACGATGACCCCTCCACTTCAGTCAGAAAATAGCTCGTAGGATAGACTCAATGTGTCCAACTGAGATGTATTATTACCCCTTAAAAGGATGATATCGACCTACCGAACACCCTGTACATGAGTGATATTTCCTATCACTTCCTGGAAGAATTACCAGTAACCCTATATATAAAACACATACGTAATTTTTAATTCCTTGATAAAAATTGCAGACCTACACTACCTCTTTTGCTTCCTGCCTTCTTCCACCACATATCATTCTTATTCCGAAAGGCATCAATAGCTTTAGCCATCCCCTTACCACACCATTTCCTTTCATGAGATTTTCCATTATCCTTTTCAAATATGGAACGGAATTTCAAGAGACTAGTGGCGTTTACAGATAATACAGGTTAGAAATATAAAACAGGGAAAAGGGTCCGGTTGGCGCGACTGAAACAAAAACTTACTTATCCGATAAAATTTCTATCAAGAATTTTGATGAACCAATTTCATTAGAATGATGAACCTAAGATGCTGACATTTGAAAAAATATATCGGTAGAAAGCTTTACCTGCAAATATCTGAGAATAATAATAAAAATAAAACATGGGACAAGAGCTGCGCGTGCGTTTCACTTCGGCGTGGCTGATGGCTAAGCTACTATTTGCACTTCGAAAGAATGAGGAACAGACAGCGCGCTGTAGGCGTAATATCGGGTTTAGTGCAATCTAGTAGTTCCAGTTCTGAAGAAACTAGTGTGAAAACAATCATACAATGACAAATTCTCATAAGCTATGTATATCACCTGACTTATATCACTCAGCGATACTACCGCTTATAATGATGTGGCAGACATCAATTTTTTAGATTATTTTGACTGATTATAGTCATTCAGAAACTTCGGTCAACTGGCTACACTCCACAAAGAATCAGTTCTGTTGAATTTCGCAGATTTGATGACAAATCATATAATATTTCTATCTTGCTTAACAAAAAAGTTTTTTCCGATAAAACGCAGTAAACACAGATGCTCAGCTTGGCGTAAAGGCGAATGGATCTGGCATTATATGTGATGTTAACCCTTAACTACCATGGCCAAAAACAGTAACATTTATATCATGGCAGGGTCAAATTTGCCCCCATTGTTTTTTTTCTCATAAAAAATCTAATTTTGTAGCTTGTTTTTATGTTAAGCCATTTTGTTTTCAACTAGTTTTAAAATTTTATAAAATAAAGCGAATATGGTTAGTTATAACTTTATTAAAAAAAACTTCGGTATTCAGTGAGATTAACAAAGATGCGCACTTTCTAAAATTATAAGAAAAATTATATAAAAATTTTCAGTTTTCTTGTATTCAGTGGTGAATTTTACGTGTCATAGCTGCTACCTAAAATAAAAAAAATTGATTTAGAATTTCGTACCTAAAAAATGACAAGCATGTTTTTAACCTTACTTTTCAACACAACTTATGCATAACGTCTTCGTGCGGGCATCATTTTTGCAAATAAATTCTCGACATTTATCGCACCATGAGCTTTCTTTCTTTTGATTTTTAGAATATGGCCATATTTTACACAATCTCCTCAACTGGTTCCTGAAGTCCGGAAACTTTAAAAATGACACTACGAAGTTCTCTCGGTAAACATGCTGAGCTCGACGAGCCAAATGGTCCTTAATAAGTTCTTGACCTAAAGTGGTTAGAAAAATTTTTTTTGCGCCTCCGCTTCAAGTTCTTTCTGTGTCAGAGCGCGTGGATTGCCACTACACCCCGCCATTTCAAATTACTCGCTACTCGCACTAGAAAAACTTATACCATAAACGGGTCAAATTTGACCCTACATGTGCCTAACTCTGCAGTGGTAACAGATAAATCAATGGAATTTTTGTGGATCGATAAATCACCTACCGGTCGAAGATTGGCAGGACGCGCGCAGCGCGCCATAAATATTTTGGTAGCGAAACTTGGCATACAAAACGTGGAGAGTCAAATTTGACCCCGCCATGGTACTTAAGGGTTAATGTCCTTCTCAGGCATCGATAGTCATCATTAAACAGGCTCTCATCAGCTTGCCAGTTTATACTTGACATTATTCAGAGTCCGGTGACGTTTATGAATGGATTCTCATGACAGAATATGGCCTTGTATATCTATAACTTGCATTCAATTCAGTGGAATGATGCATTAATTAGCCGTATAGTTCCATGAACTATCCAGAATGTAATTATTTTCTATTTCATTAAATCTTTGTCATACCCCCATTCAATACTAATATTAAGGCAAAATTTAGCCAATGACTACTCTTACATTTAACCACCAACCATATTTTGTTGAAAAAATAGTTCATATGAAAATACAATATGTCGAAAAATGAGTCCTTGCGTATGGGCTCTCACTACTCAGGGGTAATTATGGTACAGAAGCTCTCACAGCATTTTAGGTTGTCCAACATTTTTATGGAAAAAAAAACAATTATCTCTAAAATCACTCTGTCAATTTTGAGAATTTAACCTCTGATTTATTTTAGGGGGTACTATAAAACGTGATGATTTACAGATATTTTGAAGACTTTTTGAGTACTCTATCACTACTGCATATTTCATAAAGATATTCCGAATTGATTAAGGATATCTTTTCTAAGCAACCAAGGAATTTGAAACAATACAAGTGAAAACACTGGCTCCATGTACTCTACCCAGCGATATTATATTTTTATTAATAGCTATCAGACGCCAGGTAAACAATTTTTAGAAAGTGTTGCCATTTATGTTCTCTACGATGCTTGTATTGCGTAGTATTACTAGTAATAGTGATAAAGTACGGCACTTATATTCGAAAATAGACTTCAATAAAGATATGATAAACTGTAACATTGGAAGCATCTAATGTCTTTTGTGATTTACAGGTTCAAACAATACTACAGATCTGTTATGTGTGGATGGAAGACATGCACAAATTGCCATTTTGAACGAAGCGACTCTTACTCGTTACGAAATACGCCATCAAATTCAAAATCTGGTGAATTTAGAGGTAATTATAATCCATCTGAGTCATGTTATTGGATACGTAAGTCAAAATTGCTAATTTTGCAAAACTTGACCAACCCCTCGAACTGCAGGGTTTCTGAAAATATTATTATTTTTGAAACAATGAAACAAATCTAGTCAATTTTCATAAGTATCTCCCTATTATAGAGAGGGTGTTAGGCTAAGACTGTGTTGAACAGTTGGTATATCTTCTGGTTCAAAGAACCCGCCTTGCCAAGATGCAGGTTGTTGAAGTTGCTTTTATGGGATATGAAATAGGGTCTTGATAAAGATTTTGGCCAAACTATGTTATCCAGATTTTTTGAAATTTAGCAGATATGGACGCATCCACAGGAATTTAACTAAGGTCAACTAGTCAGATTTAAATCTGTTCATTCTTTTTCTGTGAGTCGTGAGTTCAAATAACGCGTTTTTTTTATTCGATTGTATTTAAATTTCGGGCTCTATATTTGTGCCAGCAAAACTTGAAAAAAATCCAACAAAACCGGCTTTAGGATATTTCAACTAATGTTTGACGCTCTTTCTTTAACACGGAGCAACACATGAACTTTTCTGTTTAGAATCACCCCTTGAGGTTTAGTCAAATGCTTCACAACACCCTGTATATATCTATGAAGCAGATAAATAATACAAATATTGACTGACTATGTTAACTAGAAGTTTATTGCATCATAGATTTCACAACCGTTGCTGGGGGATTTTTTTTGTATTCTATGAAAGGAGCTTGACTGAGAGAGAGAGAGACAAACTCGAGAAGATATTCTCACTTCGCGATCGAAATTCGTATGTCTTTGCGCATGACGTCATTGGGTTCGAAATGCTTTGTGTCAGAAAGCTTGCTATCTATATTTGGAATATTTGCTTGACATCAATCATTGAAAATGTGCCTGTTGCTTTTCAAACTAAAATTTCTTCTGAGCCTCAAATAAAGGAACTTACTTTTTTGTTTAAGTAATTTTGTGACATATGTTGATTTATTTAATTTGTTATATTAACTTTTTATTCAAAAAAAGAATGGAGAACAAGATACAGTATTATATGATATATTTTATAATTTTGTATAAAATGTTATGAGTAAATACTCTTTTTTTTGGTCGAATCAAATCCAAGCGAAAAACAAGAATTTCTGTGTGATGTACCGCGGTTAAAATATGGTTTAAGATGGCACACGAGTTGATGACGTCGTCAGTTACCCGAATCGCTTGAACGCGTTGGTTTTAACCGCGGTTTTGTTGCACGTTGTTTATTTTAGAAAAGCGCTTATATAATTTTGATTATTATTATTATCACTTAATAATCAGTGCTTTTTCGTCTACAGCAGTGGTATCGAAAGTTTAAAAAAGAAACCTTTCATAAATCACTTGAGAAAATCTCTAATTTTCTAACAAGTTTGTCGTGAAAATAAAAGATATGTCGCCCAAAATTTTAATGGCGGAACCATGGCTTTGTAGCTATGATAACTTTCAATTCTTTGAACTTTTCCGCATGTCAAAGAAAACATTTATTGATTTAGCAGGAATGATTGGAAAAAGCGATGAAAAAAGATACTATCAAAACTGTATACATTATCCAGTGAGTTTATATGGCTATATTTTAGTATACAAGACACTTTGTTAAGCATCGAAACTAGATTTAAAGTGTCCCCAACAACAGTAATGAGTATAACTAATAAGGTGCTCTACTACAAGCTACAACTGAAGTCAGCATGTATCAGCTTTCCCAAAAATGAAGCTGAAATACAAAAAAATAGCCAATACCCGCCAAAATTCTAATTTGTCACATTTCAAACAATAACCAGGAATATAAAACTACTCCGGAGTTGGGTAAATACCACAATTTTACGGTGATAACTATGACATATAACAGCTGATTCATGGCGTCACGTATCTTTTAACCAAACTGATAACCACACTCGCTTGAACGGATCGGTAAATACAAATCCAAAATGGTAAATATATAGTCGGAATCACGAAAGATGACGATTACGTCATCACTTTAGTCTGTAATAAAAAACATGCTTGGCATTTGGACTTACACTAATCGGTGTGGCTAAATCCATTTTAACGATTTTAAATAAAATGTAGCCAATTTTAATGACCCTGCGTTGAAATTGTCGAAATAGGTCAGATTTTAAAAGATACTTAAATGATGAATAAGCTGCTTTCCTGCTTTCATCCGTCCGACCAAAGACAGTCAACCCAGTCAGCTGTTTGGCTAATCATTAGCATGGTCTAGGCTTGGTTTGTCGGACAACGCACGAAAGCATAGCTATGGAAACTGTGATATCCTTTGAAATAAGACAGTGCGAAGTGCCATCTATCGAAAGGAATGCTGCTTTCGTCCGAAAAAAGACAGCCAACCATACTTTTTGACTAGTCATCAGCATGGTCTCGGCTTGCTGCTGATTAGTAGCCAAAAAGCACGAAACAGCTGTCCAGTGTTGCGGTCTTTAGTCCGACGAACGAAAGCACCATGTTTAGTTTACTCAATGGCAAGTAGACCACATCTACTACACAGCTAGAATCGTCACCATCTATCGGTGACGAGGTTACTGGGCCCCCAATTCGTGGACTGAGATCTATACAGTCCCAACCGGTAGCTGCTATTCACTGTTTGCAGTGGTCGATTCTAGAGGTAGATGGCGCTTAGCGCAGACATATTTCGACACTTTCATGCGTTCTTGTATCATCAGCTTTTTTCGAAGTTTTTTTTTCAATCATTAACTTACATTTTAGGGAATGATAGCACAATGAGACATTACCGTCAATCCACACGTCGAGAACGGCGTTGCGAAAATGGTGACGCTGTCCAACACTCGTTGCTTCGACCTATTTCAAAGGAGTACTGCGCTGGCAAAGTGCAGCTGACTAACAATTGCAACACGAACGGTAGACCGTCGGGCAGATCTTGGAGAGAAAGAAAACCTATCACGACAGACTTATAACGAACGCAGGTGTTTATAACTTTTGTATAATTAAGATATCTATTTTACATGTCTTTAAAGCATCAGTACCCCATAATATCATAATGATCACTCTATTGGAACTATAAGATTGAGACCACAGCATCTTTAGTAGTAGTTAGTGTAAAACAGTAAGAGATAAGAAGTTAAATGGATGCAAAGCTGCCCATTTAAGCAACGTACAATACAGCACTTAGAAAGTATCGCAATTCAGAGTACCGAGTTTATTTGTGGTGGGATTTCAAAATAAATTGAAAACTAACCTTGCCACGTTTCCGCCTTTATAAGGTGGCATAATTAGTTTCAGTATTTCAATATAACGTTTCATCTCTTGTCCTCAATCGTCAACTTTGTTATTTCTGATGGACGCCATATTAAATTTTTGCACAGGATAGAGCGCTTTTAATGCTGATTTCAAAAATGTATAAGATGAGGCACATTAATTTTGTAAAACTATGATAATTAAAAAAAACAGAATTTCCTATGTAGTTCTTGTTATCAGATAGTCATTGGTTCCGTTAACATCATCAATCAAGCCTTCCCTCACTTTCTGATGATTGGGCATAGGTCAACATTCCCTCTTTCCGGTTTTATCTCGAATAAAAAAGGGAAAAGCAAAATAAAGAAGGGGAAGAACAAAATCTTTTTTAAGACTGGAAGCAGTTAGGCATTGTAAAAATCACTTGTCAAGTATTAATGTAGTCCAAAACAATGATTTTTGTAAGGGTTTTGTCAAAAAGTTTGCTCCAATATCACAGCAATATTTTGATTACCTTGCGCGCAGCGCCCTTGTTCTTGCAAACTTGCTCGACTGTGTAGTCACTGATACGCGCATCAGAGGGTTTAATGTAGTCCCCTACGTAAGGAATATCAAGATCTCTGTGAAAAGTTTCATTAAAGACGTACCATGGGGAGTCAGTAATTGTGTGCAACGCCTGCTTTGCTTTGTTAAGGGGCACTGGCTCGTACCAGCGCTTTATTAATTCGATCCTCTCCAGGTGCTTTACGCACCTTGCGGTCTTTAATATGACCTTGGAGCTCTGCTGGTGTGCAATGCGGGATCTCACAAGATTCCGCTGATGTACTATGCGGATGTTTAGTTGATCAGGCTTCCGAAGAAGAATCTTCTGATGAGGAAAAATCATCAACGGTAGCGCGACTGCCACTGACGCCGTTGGTCCTAAAATACCTCCTGATAGATCTTACGATGTGTTGCTCCTCGTCGACGCCATTATCAAGACGGTCGACACTGAAAGCCGCCACACACCGACTACTTGAAAACACATGCAGTTGTGACCGCATTCAAACTCATTTGATCCAGTTTGCGGTAATTTCGATAATATTCTTAATGGAGAGACATATCAAAATAATTTACAACCTTAATATAATTATCATGTGTAGTAATCAATGACAAAATTATAAGATTGCATTTACTGAAAATTTGTGGAAAGATTTATTATTTTCTAGCAGTTCATCGGCAGCTCCGGTCGTTCGCCCACTGGAGATCCTTCGATATGTGGTCTCATGTCATCTTTTGACGGTTTTTCCAGATTTCTTCACTTATTATTGAAAATATCCAATTATCCTATTACAGTGTGAAGAAATTTCCATAATCACATGCCTTCATGGCATCAGGTGCAACAAAGAAGAAACAACGTTGTAACAGGTCAAACCAGTTTTTCAAAAAAAAAAACGTCAAAATTCATCATTAGAGTCCTACTACTGTTAAATTAATCCTGAATATAAAAATAGAGTGACGTAGCATTGGCATGTTTCGAGCAAGTATTGACAAAAAAATGGCCAAAACCAAGACAAGAAACGTTGGGAATTTTCGAAATTATGGCTGCAAACTGAACGATTGTGCATACAATGATGTGACATTATACATATGGCATGGATTGATATTATAAAACTTCAAATGTCTAAGAAAATGTCATCTTCCTGTAGCTAGTCTCAACTCATTGAATAAAGAAAAAGATAACACTTTTTCAGTTATTTACGGGTAGTAATGGAAACATTGAAAATGGTATAAAATATAGAAACTGACCAACATTTTAGAGTAAGTAAAAGTTTCAATTATACTGTACGTTTTTGAACACATTACATATCTGTCATATCTAAGCCTAAATATGTAGACATCTGGCATTTAAATAGTATCCTCTACGGCTGGGGTGTCATATAGAGGCCCATTGTGCTAAAGTAGCATTTGATATAACCGGTAAATGAGCAAATTATCTGAATGTTTTCAAAGCCTGAAGCAATCTTTAATCCAATTATAAAACATGTAATAAGCTGTCATTTACGAGGCCAACTATGAAAGTATCCGTGTTTTGGTATAACTAAGATCTACCAATGTCGTCAATAAATATGGCCTTCACAAGAAAACAGGTTGATGACTGAGGACAAGAGACAAATCATTATTTTTAAATTCAAATTATGCCACCTTGTAAAGTAGAAAAAATGGCAATGGTGATGTGCAATTTATTTTGGAATCCCACCTTTCTGGAAAATTTTGTTTTTCGGTCTATCTATACCGGAACCCAGTTCATATTTCTTAGCGTTTCCGGGATCCCGAAGGTCAGAGTCGAATTTGAAACACTTAGTATAGAAATATTTCTACATGCTTTTGGTACATTTGGTGCTTGTGAACTTTAGAAATACATGGCACTGATTGTAGTGACAAATCTCTCATATTTTTTATTATGCCTTGGTTGCTTGGTACTAAATTCATGTATAAGATATAAAAACGGTATTTTGTAAAATTTACGAAGATGTACTAATTGAAAAAGTATGTCAGTAGTCAAGAGAATATAAATCATTATGCAGTGATGTTTCGCTAAGATTACCAAAATGCTAAATAAACCAAATGACTGTGACATTTTTAACTTTAAGGTATATTTTGACTGTCTTGATTTAATTTGAATGTATGTCAATACTCAAGAAAATGTAAATCATTATGTAGAGATGTTACACCTAGATTACCAAAATACTAAATAAACCAAATGACTGTGACTTAACTTTAAGGTATATTTTGACTGTGCTGATTTGATGTGAATGTATAATGTTAAAATGATGTTGAATGTAAATAAATTTCAATATTTTTGAAGTACTTTTCTTTAATCCAACAAAAATTACTATATTGATAGATTCAATCTGCAGAGGTTGACATGCGAAGAAAATTTCACAATAGATTCATCAGGAGGTATGGCTGCATCTGAAAGTCATCTATTCTGAAAGAATCTCTAGGTTTTATCAACCTAGAGGGTCCGAATTTTTGCTTAGGGAAAAAAAGACGACGTCATATTCGCCAAATGCTACAAAGGTGATTCCATCATGTACCATGAGCCCAAACTTTGTTAAAAATTAGGATCGATCTTAAAAAAATATTTTGAGTTAACTTCACACTTGTTCCTACTCCTTTTGAGAAGTAGAAATATAGACTTGAATTAAAATGAGACTATTACAACACTCCATCTAAATGGTCAGATGGCATGGTCTCATTCAACAAAAAATTAGATATCAATTTTCCATTTTATGCCTGATATGCCATAATTGGAGTTTTTTTGTTAACTTTCTGTAACTAAATAAAAGGTGATGTTTCCATAGATGTTAGTAGGTACTAAAATTAACTGCCATAATTAAAAATACATACATTATTTGCAAAAATTAGAATGCAGACAAGTATACAATTTATTAGCTTTTCTTGGTCCAAACCCAGGTACTTGTGCTATTTGCTGTTCAGAAGCCTTAATGATACCTTTCAATGTTTTGAACTTATCTATCAAAATCATAGCATCTGACTTATTCACGGATCTTATGGAGGTCAAGGCTTGGATCAGCTAAAATATAAAAATGTTAAATAAAATATAAAAATAGCAAATAAAAATAATGATGTGGCTTACTCTCAAATATGGAGAAGATTCTCCTTTTTCTTTAATATTATCAGCAGGCTTGTTTTCATAAATTTTGTATGTCTCTAGTATTTTTCCTGCTTCTTCAGGAGACCATGCTAAGATCAAGGTTAAATCAGCTAGTATACAAATTCGAGTCAAACTTTTCAATACATGATGAGGATCAGGTATATCAACCTAAAAAAATGTTTAATAAAGAACTATTCAACATGCTAATGGTTTTTATATCATGTTTATAGTATCTTTTTCATAGCTTAATTGTCACCCCCTAGCCATACAATTTCCCCTGCTACCAATAAAAGCTGTTAACATCATAATATTATCATAGCCTGTCCAATATGTATCACATATAGTCTTGTAATGAATATGAAAGCAAAATAAGCTATTTTTCTTTGTTGGAACTGAAAACCCAAATAGTATATATTCACCAAAATAGTGCTTCCATAATTAAGTACTTACTGATTTGGCTCAAGAATAGGTATAAGAATATTTATGTATTTCTATTCTTTAATATTTAGAATTGATTTATAAAGGTATAATGTTGTGTGGAATGAGCAGATAATTTAAACAGCAGTATTTTATCAATATTTATTACCTGTACAAGAAGAACTCTCAGTAGATATTGCTTTCCTAGTTTCTTTAACCTGTCGTGAATATAATCTGGATTCAAGTTATGATAGCGAAGTGTTAAAAACAATGCACAAGTAGTTTTGCCCATTTGATAATCTGGAATAATACTGTCGTCGAATTCCCAGGTAACATTACATATATGTTGTAATAAAGGGTTTCCTCTTTGCTTTGGATTCACAAGAAGAGAGAACGTTTTACTTGTGCTCGCCTTTTTTATAGATTTTTCATTAGCTGTTTCTGATGAAGTTGAAGCTATAATAAGTAATAAGTCAATAGGAAGAATAAATCTTTGTATTAGGATGGATCTTACCTTCTTCGTGAAGATCATTATTTCTAAACTCGTCTGCAATATCGGTTAGATCGTCCATTTGATTATCTCCTTTGTTGTTGAACTTACGGCTAGACTAGTTCTATCTTCGGATGCATTTTGACGTTTGTTTAATTGTTTATGTTCATTCCATTTCAGCCATCCCTAACCAAACTTCTTTGACTTTTCGACTGACCTGCCTCTTGACAGCTACCTGAGAACTAGAGATGGAATATCTGAAAGTCTATTAGGACATAATTTTTGGAAAGTAGTACATTCATGCCAATGTACACTTGTACAGGCGTTTGAAGCAAATATATGCTATACTACGGATTTATGAGTTATTAATATACCGCTACGGTGTGTCGAAATCTTCTTTAGCTGCCGACACTTTCAGCGCACGGATTATAAATTTTATTATCAGTACCTTTCGTTTCAGTTATGCGAGTCCCACACGATGGTTCCAACGTTGTATACAAGAATGTTTACAACGTTCGACACCTCTCAATTGGCAAGCGTGTCTCCTACACGATGGGATGAACTTTTTAGTCTCGGACGTTCGATGCATGGTGGTGCCAACGTCAATTATCGCTGTCAGTGTCGCGCTTGAACCTTTACAACTAAATGAAAAATGATCAAAATGAACGATGAAACAATTTCTTCGAGTGCCAAACTTAGTTGAAGGTGGCGCTGGCCAAAAAATAATTTCAGATCTGTCTTTAGCGGCCAAAACTTAAGGCGGCTCCGAAACAGTGAGTTTCAAGCCATTTACAAGGGTTCAGCTGCTTCAAAACTGACACTCCATTTTTCAATATTTTTGAATGAAATGTATACAGTAAGTTGAGAAGATAATTGCCCAGGGTGCTATAGGAGCACTTTTTGAAATTTTGTTTTTGCACAAGTTTTATGATGGGTTGAAGTGCGCACTTTTTCTGTTCAACTTCGCGATTTTTTTAAAAAGAACCTAGTGAAAAAATAAAAAAGTGGCTCTATAGCACCGTGTGGGGTTTTGTTTTCAGCACTCTGTAAAAATTTTATCCAAAAATATCAAAAAACAAAGCGTCAATTTCGAAGCGCGCAAACCACTACAAATCGTATTTTGGACGAATTTTGTCTACTGTTTAGTGCTGCCAAACCAAACGTTGCGGCGCAATGTACAGACTAAGAAAGGACGTATTCATATAATTTGGTGGCCCTATTTCATATAATATCGCGTAGATAAGTCGTTCTGCAAATAGGTACTCATAATCGCGATCGCTGATGCTCCTCGATTTTGAAGCCGTTTTACTTCCCACGTCAATGGCGAGGAAGTATTGTAATCGCGAAAAATTTCTAAAATGAGATGTTATGTTTTTTTAAGTCATATGACATCTAGATCACGAAAAACTGTATCACTCATCATCAACTGGGAAATTACCGCTCGGATTTTTATGAAATTTCCACACGCGGTTACTAGTATGCCAAAGCTTTGCAGTTTTAGTCCAGTGGCAACGGTGCTATAGGCAAAAAAGAAAAAGTAACAATTGCTGAAACTCCGTTTTTGACGTTTCAGGGGTTCCTAATCATTGACATAAAAAAATTGTACTGCTTAAAAAGGAAGGGTTGAAATCAGTGAAACACGTTCTATTACTAAGAAGCTTCTGATCCCAGTGATTACAGGAAATTTAAGTATCGAAAATCCGACGAATAATGTGCTCACGATTTGAAAGAATCGGTACCGACTCTATAGGTTTGACACCAACAGCCAACAGATCTGCAACTACCGATAGTAGGGAAGAATAAATTCGGATATCACTCCAGTCAAGTGTAGGGGAATTTAGCGTGGAACTTTAAAATTATCGATATGTCAAGGAAATATGTTTTTGAGAACGATCATTTGGTAAATTTTATACCTGCATTTTCATTTGAATTTCATAACCCGTGAAATGTACCCATTTCGCGGTTACCTTTTATGTTCTGCAGTTTGTGATGTTTTTCTGGATATAAGCAGGCCATAATTGCCTGGGGTGCTTTCAGAGCTTTTGTTTTTGCGCAAGAATTACGGTGGGTTGAAATGTTCACTATTTGTGCTCAACTTCTTGATATTTTAAAAAGATCCTAGTGGATAAAATCGAAAAAGTGGATCGCTGGCACCCTGTGGACTTTGTTTTTACCACGCTGCAAGAGTTCCATTTGGAAATAATAAAAAGTAAGCTGTGAAGTGCAAATCGGTTTTTGGGCGAAATTCATCTACTGTTTCGTCCTGCCAGTCCAAGCGTCGTGACGGTGCGTTCCGACTAAGAAAAGAGTAATCAAATAATTTTAAAATAAATTCAAGAACTCAAATTCAAATTCGTTTATTCATGTCAATAAACACAATTATATTTACAAGGTTCATGTGGTAGATGGTAACAATTGATCGAGGGTCATAAAAATATCTTATGCAGTCAAAATGAGAAGAAACAGTTAGGTAGTTTTTGCAAAGCAATAAACAGGAAGGCTTTACCTGTATTAAGTACATGTCTTGTCTACTGTAATAGGTAGATGGAGGTGATGCTGCCAGAAATGGATGAGTGCGATCAATAAACAAACCACAAGATTGAACTGCCGTGTCCAATGATTTTTGTATTGCCTTTTTTATTGCCTTACTAGAAAACTCTGTTGGGTATATGACGGAGTTTACTAGAACTTTACAGCTTGTTGTCTGCCTTCTTCTACAAACTTCACCAAATCGAGACGCTGTCAACCTTATCCTCTGATGAAGACGCCACAAAGCACAACCCTGTGATTTGGTGACTTGTTCGATATGCAAAATATCGTCGTCACTTTTTCTAAGTTTCCCTAAAAATTCTTGCTTAGCAACCTCCAAATCAATGTCGTTCATGTCAGGTTTTTGACAGAATTCGCCATAAAACTTATATATTTTCTTTGGAATTGCTGTCCGAATTGTTAGTTATTTTTACTTTTTTTGGTCTGAGTTTCCAAGATTCTTGCGTTTGAGTCTTTGTTCCATCTTAGTGATAATCGAGGTTGGACTAATCTTAGAACGCAAATGTATTTGGACCACATAGAGAGGCCGCTCGGTATTGTGGCTCACAACAGCTGCAGCACATCTTCCATGGTATGTCCTCTTCTTGGAAAAATTTATTTGGTTACCCCAATGTATTTTGCGATTATAAAGTTGAACTGCTCCACACTATTGTTGTCCTCATCATGAATTAAACTCACTGAATTCGTAATTAAAATTGTCGCATATGACCTTTTATTGTCCATTATCAACCTTGATAAAAAATTCACTCAAGAACAATCACACCAACAACAGTACAACACAACAATTCAACAACACAATATCGACGAACAGTAACAAGGGTAGAACAATACTAAACGATCACTAGCTGAGTACCAAAATAGGAAACGATTTACAGGCTAGATCGCTAATCGAAATCCGACTCTGTTATTATAAAAATTTACCTCGGTACGCATCCGCAGTCATCCTTTCCTCATTTAAAGTAGCGCCGACCACCGTCTAAGACCAGCCCACAATCGTTTCCTTTTCACGATGTGGCGAATGTCCATGTGTCCAGCGTTGTAAGGCTTTCGCCACATCGTGTGGGATTGGTTTTATATGATTTATATATAAACATAAAACAAGATAAACCATTTTTGCAGGATAATCACCACTTATGAAGTATGTTGAGTCGACTTCAGAGAACTGATTTAACAAATAATAACTAAGAAAGATATCACGGGGTGGCAAAAAAATCAACAGACATCAGGACCGTCCTAAACGATGTGGGAACCTTAGGCGCACAAGAGCGTGGGACCTACTTTGAAATATTTTCAAAAGGGGCACTTTGTTGGAGATTTCGTTTGACAGTAGGGCATTTCGGGGTCCTGCGTCAACCCGGGACCATAGGCACGTGTCAATTATGCCCATGGGAAAAAGACGGAATCGTCAACAAGCTAACCTACAATTATTTAGTCTAAGCCAATATAAAGTATTATTCTCGAGAGAAGAAAAAATAAGAAACCGAGAATAACTGCCATGTATAAGAACGAGAGTGGGCGTAGTCCTAATGCTACGCCCAACAACAGCGAGACCACAAAATGGTCAAAATGCTCATTTCCAAAGACGCTCAAATTGCGGAATTAAAAACTAATGACGCAAATCATAAAATTAACCAGTACGGTGCAGACACTTCGAGAACAACTATTTTTACTCATCAAGCGATCAGAAGAAAGACAAGAGAAGAACGATAGAGTCGGTCATGGAATTTTCTTCAGATAATATTTCTCACGATGGACGGACTTCTAATACCAAAATGCTTCAGAATAGTAGCGGGGGTGAATATTTTACTGAGATTTGTTCTGGTAGAAGATCGAGAAAAAATAAAAATAGAAGAATGGCAACCCAAATGTCAAACGATTCCTAAATCGTAAATATGACAAATCCTACAACTCCTCAATCTGATCAACCTTCTACTTCTATCAATCCTCCAAATTCTCACCTTTCTATTAGTTTGGACCAGCAATCGACGTCTTTTAGTCCAAATCAACTGACATGTTATAGTTGTAGTCACCGTTTTTGGCGGGTCAAAGTAATAGTGCCAGTACCAGCACAAAATATACTCAGTACCAGTATCCTTTATATATCTCCATCACCCTCATACATACACACACAACCTACCCCTGTGTGTGGACGTTTGTTTAGTAAGCTCAAAGACATACGTTTTTTAGTTGTGTGTCTCCGTCTCGAAAGCTTTGTCGTTACGTACAAGTGCCTTTCCATCATATTTGTCAGAGTGACAACTTTCTTGACACCCCCGTGCAATTTGAGTTGTCCTGTTATCAATCTTGAATATAAAATTGTACAATATCGATCAATGTAGAAGGCCGACAGTTCGTGCTAAATTTATTAGAGTATTTCCAAGAAGAGAATGAAAAGAGCGGTTAGGACAATTATTTTATTATCAGTTAAGAAAATTAAGATCCGCCCATGGAACTGAGACTCGATTTGTTCACTCATTTCATATGGCGTTGATGACGTAACCGCCAAGAACGGTGACAACAACTATACCCCTGTAAATACTTCGTAATCCTTTGAACTGTGTCGATGCTCTAGTGTCGGATTCCAACGTGCTGTGAATATCGATAGTACGGATTGCACGTGTGCCCATCACTATAGCAAGTGTCTAGTGACAGGTGGAGAGGACAAGACTGACAAGTTGATAGCATGGGCGACTCGTCACAAGGAGTGTACAGGGGGGTGAATGCAAAATAAACAGGATAATAAAATCATCAGAATATGAATACATATTGCAAACACGTAATAGCTATTTATAGTTTTCTATTGAGATAATTCAGAGGATTGGTTGGACTCCACCGCGCGAGTATTATCTCAAAAGGCAATTTAATTACTTCATTTCTGACAACAGGTTTTTGTGTCAATCTACTGCAATGCTTTTGGTTTTCGGTCGATCGTGATTTGATTACTAGTTAGCGAAATGGGTGTAAATAATCATGAAGAACTCCTGTTAAACGTTTTTGATGAGGCGTTTCATTACACCATTGAAAAATGAGTGAAAGAAAATTTGCCAAGGGCTTGACTAAGCCAGGGACTGCAGCACAGTTGAGGGAAACTGTCTCGCAAGTTGTACGAGAAAGCACTGTACAAGTAAGGATACTATTAATCAAAACCCACGCATACACTTGTTACATGCGTTCTTGGAAGTACCAATTGGCACCTTGTTTTATTTTTATTACATAATTGCCACAGAGTCAACTTCAAGGCCTCAATGTAATAAGGATTTGTTTACTCTTGACCAGTTACTTTTGTTTGTATACTGCAATTAGAGTATGACTATGGTATGAACCATCCTTCAATTCAATGGAGCATTGTAAAATTATCTGGAATATTAATGTAGCATTTGATATTGCACTGTTATGCAGCAAAATTATTTAAAACAGAAGTGGTTAGTTTCCATATTTATTAATAATACAAATACTAGGAATAATATAGCATATACAAAGCAGTCCATATGGGCTGCTGTGGCGTGATAGGCTCATTGTCAAGCAGTCCCATGGGACTGCCATGATATTTAACGTGGTAATTGCCAATAGCACTTTTTAGACAATTCAATTTTCATGTGCTGCAAGTCAGTGGACCAGCAAGTATAGACACAAATCTATTAAAAAGCTCTACTCATATGCATAAAGTATGAAATCTTCATTAGATATAATCTTGATAATCCAATTATTTGATTTCAGAACAAACCTCACCTTGTTGAACCTTTAGACTTTGAGTCATTTGTAATAAAGAACAAGACTGTATTGCAAAATGACCCACAGAGAGAATTGTTGCTTTTCCCTTCAGATGACATCTCAGTAAGTATCAGTCTGTAAACCAAGATCCTTTTTACTACATTTATTCCTAATTTTAGCAAATTATTGTGCCAAGGAAATGTCGCACACTGCAGCCAACAATACCACATAGCAGTGAAACTGAAAACTGTAGTTTGTTCACAAAACAGTGTATCAACACTTATTCTACCAATTGGAACTTGATCCATTACAAATACAGTGCATACTCAGGTAGTTATGCTGAAATGCCATTGAAACCAGAAGAACATAAACTGCAAGAAGAAGTTTATGAACTTGACATTGATGCAGATGCAATTGATGATTTGAAGGCAAAATTGGATAACATCACAAAGGAGGGTTTTTTGCTGAAGGGGCCAGAAATAGGCAAGTTTTTGCAATAAGACTGGAAATTGAACAAAACTTTTTTCTTATTTCCATAACACATAAATGAATGTCATACAAATAATCATTTACTGTGGTACATACCATCAGTGTCAGTGGATTTCTATGTAACCTTATACATCAACAGTTACTGACACTCAGGCTACATGGTCAATAAAAATATCATATTCCATGGTAAATACAGACAAATCATGGTAAATACTGATTATGTGAGATCTGTTATAAAATTAACTCTACCTGCTTCCATTAACATAATAGCACAATGCAAACCTCACCATTTTGCTATTAACCTTTTTTCTAGTGATAAGTCAAGAAATAATGAAGTTTTTAAATTACATTTGCATCAAGATAAACTTTGTTTTAAAATATCACTAAGCACTATGGAATGCTATAAATATATAATACAGGCGTCCCTCGTTTTACGCGGGGGTAACGTTCTTTGAAAACACCGTGTAAAAAGAAACCGCGTATATTGAAACAAAAACATTTTATTACATAAACTTTTGTTAAATACATAATATACATATGTAGGTATGTTTGTACATATTATGTATGAGAACATTAAACGTTAATTTTTCAACAAAAATATTAATTTTTAGAAAAATAAAACGCAATTTTTGACTGTCTAGCTTCGTTGCATAAATTCTTCTCAACTTCCTTGTATGGTGCCAATGCTGCAAAAACCTCTCGTTTAGTTTTTAAACTTCTTTCCACTGTAGGATCTTCCCTGATTAACAGCTCGGTGAGATCGTGTGCCATGGTAAAACATTTATTAAGCGTTTTCAACGTCAACTCCTTTGGTGCCGGGACTAATTCATCATCTTCATCTTTTTCTTGAGCTTCATAATTGTTATCCGTCGGTTCTATGAGTTCTCTTTCAGTGAGTTCAACATTATGCTATTGAAATAGCTGATTTATATTGTCCATATCATCGAATCCCTCTCCAGGTAATGACTTTACTAAATCAGCAATTTCTTTGATTTCGTCTCTGATATCAGGCACCTTCGCATGAGACTTCACAATTTCTGGCCATAAGTTTTTCCAGCAGCCATTTAATGTCGATTTTTTAAGTTCACCAATCGATTCTTTAATATTATGTAGGCAATCTGCAATTGTGTAATCCTTCCAGGATTGGCTTAATGTTTTTGTAGGGTCGCGTTCCAAGTTTTCTAACAGCATTTTAAACGTGCGCCGCGCGTAATAAGCTTTGTAGATGGCAATGATTACCTGATCAAGAGGCTGTAGGATTGATGTGGTGTTTGGTGGAAGAAATTCTACTCAAACATTGGGATTTATTTCCTGTAATCGGGCGGCTGGGTGACCAGGGGCATTATCTATGAGTAATAACACCTTCAATTCAAGATTTTTTGACGTCAAATAACGTTTAACCTCTGGTATAAAACAGTTCTCAAACCAGTCTAAGAAAATGTCTCCCGTTACCCGTACATGACCATTGGCACGCCAAAACACAGGCAATTTATTTTTACCTTTGTTTTTTAAAGCACGGGGATTCAATGACTTGTACACTAATAAAGGCTTAATCATACAATCTCCAGAAGCATTTGAACAAAGCAAAAGTGTGAGACGATCCTTTGCTACTTTAAAGCCCTGTGCGGTCTTGTCCTCTTTTGATAAAAATGTACGGTCGGCATCTTTTTCCAAAACAAGCCAGTTTCGCCCGCGTTAAAAACCTGCTCAGGCTTAAAACCTTCTTCAATGATTTTTAAAAGTTGACCAGGATATTCCCTACTAATCAGGTCATGCCCGATTGCACGTTGAAACCACGCGGTGGCGCGATGCATCAGAAGGCGCGCGCCTCTGAAAGGCGGGGAGCAACCGCGTATAAGTGAACCGCCTAAAATAAATCACTGGTGTCAAAAGCGCAAACGCGTATAAGCGAAACCGCGTATAAATATGCCGCGTAAAACGAGGGACGTCTGTAAATAGAAAAATAATGGACGAAATTCGCAAAAAGAAGGAAAGTGGATTCGAGCAGAAAATAGGATAGGTAACCAGAGCGATACATGTTTCTGATTGTTGGCTTCATATACTTGTATTTATATATATATATATACCTTTCTCTGGCAGTGTTACCTTTTCCATCCTAGTTGTTTGTTAAAGTTGATAGATGTAATTAAAAATGAAATTATCATTTTAGGGAGTGAGAGATCTTTTGTAAACATCGGCTCAAAGAGTTTCAAACGTAGATACTGCTATTTGAGGCAGGAAGTAGATGGCACCTACATTTTAGAGATGTATAAAGATGAAAAGAAAGGAGAAGCTAAAGTAACAATAGTCATGGATTTTTGTACTGATGTAGTTAAGGTTTGTATGTTTCAACAACAACAGTAAAAAATACTGCAAAGCTATTTGGATACATTATCCATTGTGGATGATATGTTCAACTTCTTAGTTTATTGCTTCCCACGCCACTGTAGTAATCGAGACAAATTTGGAAAACAGGATATTGTTTATTCGGATGTTACATTGTTATAAGTAATATGTTTATTACTTATTTTCATTGGTCTGTCTGTTTGTTTGTCCATCTCCCCGCACATCCTTGACACATCTATAACTTAGAAACTATTCGGATTTTGATGAAATTTTAACAAAGTTACTTCTTTGCCAAGGACGAAACAGTTTTGTGGTTTATGAAGCGGAGCTAAGACCAACTTCGTTTTTTGACGTTTTTGAAGCTCCTGCTCATTTTAGAAAACAGGTTTGAAGGGCGAAATGCTTGTGGGAGGGGGGGTGTATCTTATTTTTTGGCGGTAGTATATTTATTTGCTTCTAATCCCCATAATTCCACGCACCTATTAGACATATCTCACGAATGAAAAGAGAAGATTTATGATTCGTTAGTACAGCAGTCGACAACCTGTCGAATTTCATTCGTTCTACCACGGTATGTAAATGGAATTCACATGGCCGGATCCCAAACACAGTCACTGACACCAACTGTGCAAACATACCTCTGGTGCAAAGGAGACTGGGTCCAGATCCCGACGACCTAGACATACATGCGCGCACGCAGGAAATTTTTTCAACAAACTTTTTGTTTACTATGATTATGTATCAGTCCCACAAGTTTTTGAAGAACAGGAGTAGCAGATTTTCTCAGAAGGAGCCAAATCTTAAAAGTTTTGCATATGGTACTCAAAATTATGCTAATATGCAAATTTTAAGAGGCCGTCAGATTGTCGTGGGGGAGGGGGGCCTCTTTTATGAACGGATGGCATTGTTGCGGGGGAAGTGTCGAGTAACCTATTTGACTCCAGTTTTTCTATTTTTCAGAATCTAAAACGTGGAAGATTTTGTTTTGAACTCAGAATGGCGTCAGGTCACAAATCTTACTTATTAGCTGCCGAAAATGAGGCTGATTTTAAAGACTGGCTGAGCAAATTGAGCTCAGTACTTCAACAAAACAAAATTCAAGAGGAAAAACGAGCAGCATCTTTAGAAAGAGGTGAGATTCTTAGTCACTACCAGTAATTCTTGTCGGTTTGGCAAAAAGTTTTTGATGAGACTGTATCTTTCAATGGTTATTTGACAGCATAGTAGTCAGGACTTCGTATGATGGCCAAAATACTAAATAATTGATTCATTTAGTTTGTCAAGGATGAACTAGTTTTATAACAGATAATAAATTAGGACGCGTGTTCGGAAATCAAGTTTCACCACAGCCTGGTTATATTTTTAACATAATCATCCACAAAAAAACATCAAAGAAAAATAGATTTTTCCAGCTAAAGGTACGCGTTTGTATGTATTAATTCTACTTTTGCACTAAAAGGATTAATTTATGTGAGTGCATTCACTGTATCCACGACAATTTGATGACCGATAAGGTGGTAATTTGCTTTTCAGTGTAGCATTTGGAATTTTGTCTATAACTTAGACAACTGTCCCCTGAAAACGAACCCGCTCGATCGTTCTGTTAATGGTTAGCGTCCAGTAATCAGCATTCTGTATGACAGTATCTACAAACATCAAAATAGTAGCTTCCGTCAAACAAACAAACTGCCACCTGGAAGGCAGATAAGTAAAATATATTGTCATTCTACTGAAGAACATCACCTTTGTGATTCAAACGTTTACAGTAAAGAAGATTTTGTCAGCACATGTGGTTTAATTGGCCAGGCAAGCTAGGAGTATTATCGACATGTGAACCATAGGATAAGTTTCTGAAGTCACATTTATCTTCTCATTGGTCGAATTTGTGCACCTGTTAGTAAAATCGGGTCTGATTGGAGCAACTGGGATTAATTTAGAATAATCAATCTGGTAATTAGTGTCTTATACTACCTTCTACTTTACTGCGCTATATATCTACATTAACGATCCCCAAGGTATATATATATATTATATATATATTTTTCTCTAGTGTTTACTCGTTACCGGATAATACTAAGGTCAATCATAGCTGAAATTTTGATTATAATGCCTTAAATGGTATTAGTTGTAAACAAATTACGGTAGATGAAATTTTTGCTGCCAATCGGAAATTAAAAGACAAGCTAACTGCAGGATCTGACCGAATTCCGTCATTCTTTGTCAAGGATTGTATTAGAATATTGGTATTTCGTTTGCAGATCCTGTTTAACTTAATTTTACACACATCTATTTTCCCAGATAAATGGAAAGCTGCAAAGATATGACGAATTCCAAAAACAAAGCATTATAACTTAGTTTGTGATTATAGAGCAGTGTCTATATTAAACAATTTTGCGAAACTCTTGGAGATCAAATTGTATAACCTAATATATCTGTCCGTGAAAGACCATATTTTGATCCATCAACATGGTTATATGAGGCAGTGCTCAAGTTTAACTAATCTGATGGAGTTCAGTCAATACTTATGCCAAAGAATGGATAACAGAGGCCAGATTGACGTGGTATACACGGATTTTTCCAAAGCTTTTGATAAGGTTAACCACAATATATTGATTAGTAAGTTCCTCAAGGCTCTAACTTAAGACCCCTACTGTTCATTCTTTTTGTCAATGATTTAAGTGCCTCTTTGGAATGGCTGAAGTTGATGTTTGCTGACGATTTAAAGTTTTTCTCTACTATTTTCTCGACAGAGGATTGTGTTGTGTTACAAGATCAAATCAATATTGTACTAAGATGGTGTGAAAATAACAACCTTTTTATATATATATATATGCTTTATTCTAATGGAAATACCTTCAGGCCAACTTTTATTTTTATAAATTGCTCTATTATTGGCGATAAGCTATTGGGCAATAAATGCTTATTTATTTATATATAAGTATCTAAATCTATTCCAGATCGCATGTCACCGCCACCCCCGCCAACCCCCGCATCTACTCCTTTCGGCACCTTAAAAGGACTAGAGCAGAGCATGAACCCACAACTGATGCGCTACGCTAGAGAAACGGATGCTAGCGTTGCCGCGGCGCGCGCTGACGGCAGGCATCGAATCTTTGAACTGTGGCCACCAGTTGCCGCTGCGATTGCGGCCCCAAAACACGGACAAGGGGCGGCAACCGCTACGGATCAGGTGGAGCCGTACAAGGAGGTGTTCGGGTATAGGGTGTATCTCAAGTGCGAGAGTATCCGGATGAAGCTGCAAGTAAGTATTCGTTAGGTTTGTAACCGTTAAGGGTGAACAGTTGTTGGAAACTAAAAGGAAGAAGCTGGACAGGGACTAGCAGTTGAAAGCGTCCGGTCAGTCGAGACAGGGACAAACTGTGAATCTTAAGTATGTGGCCCAACGGCTGTCATCGGATTTTTGATTTGTCTCCAACAGTTGTCGCTGAAATCGCGGGTCCTAAATAGGGCGACAACCACTACCGCATGGGTATCATGTAAAACGTCAAAAAAAGTTATAAAATGTCATCTTGCAAACTAGGTAGTTTTAGAGGGCAAACAGTCATTCCACGTTTGCTTACTAGGATCGCCGTGAACGTCCATCTAAAGAGGAATCACTCAACTAAACTAAACGCATTATTGGTTGCATATGTTTTGCGAGACAAAATGGTTCTTGTCTGTAGTTTTTATCTCGGAGAAGAAAGTTGGTTGAATAGCAAGATCGCATCTGGATGATTATGTGCATTGGTCTGCACGTGTATAAAGTCAGTGATATTTGCTGTGTGAGAAAATCATTACTGAATATGCTGTCAATGAAGTATATATATTGGCTATGCCCGACGGGTTATTTTTATGTTCTGTTCCTGAAGAGAGGTTATGTTCCAAGTTATAAATTACGAAAAACTGAGGAGAATTGCGGGAAATCATCACCGCGCCCGCGTTGTGTGTAATTACTGTTAGCATGTATACGACTTGTAAGTTGACAGTGTACAGTGAATATAATTATTTCCTATCTCTCTCTTTTTTGAAATTCAGCAAGTTTGTATATGTAATTTCCAGAATGGACAAGAAAAAGTGAATGCGCAACTAGCTTTGAATCTCAATTAAGTGTGTTTGAGACAAGAACCCAATGTAATTATCATTAACACATATAACTTACAGCTTAGACCTCCAGTAATGCCATCTCAGAAGCAGATTTTACGTTTATGCAACACGTACAACTAAGTGCTAAGTTAATATCTTATAGAAAAACCTACATAATGTCAAAAAAACAGCATAATGTCAAAAAAAATCGGCATAATGTCACTTTTCAAGTTACGTGATACCCATGCGGATCAGGTAGAGCCGTACAAGGAGGTGTTCAGGTAGAGAATAGGTCGCATTTATTTATGGATTTGGAAAATAAACTATTGTACAGGGTGCGGCAGAGAGGACGGACGGGTTTAAAAAAATCATAAAATAGTTAATGTTTACTCGAAAACAAATTTATTGATGGAATCAGGTTCACAAGGAAATATCATTTGAGACAGTCAAGTGTGGAAAATCACATCAGGCATGTGGTGGCCGAAATCGTTGATGCAGTGCTGGAGGCGTTCTTGGAAGTTCGCGTAGACTCTCTCCAACATCGCTCTCTCAACTTGGGCGACTTCCACGCGAATTTCGCCCTTCATTTCGTCCAGAGTTCGGGGCTTGTTCGCGTATACCCTAGCCTTGAGGTGTCCCCAAAAGAAAAAATCGCATATGGACCGAGGAGGCCAATGAACATCACCAAACCTGGAAATAAGGCAACCAGGGAAGAGCGGGAGAATAACGTCCATGGATGCTCGGGCTGTGTGGGCGGTCGGCCCATCCTGCTGGAACCACACACGTCGGATTGGAACACGTCGGCGTCGTAATTCAGGGAGAAAGACGTTGGTGATCATGTCGACGTAGCGCTCTGAGTTCACGGTAACATCATGACCATTAGCGTCTTCGAAGAAGTAAGGGCCAATGATGCAAGTTTGCGATACAGCGCACAAAACCGTTACTTTTGGGCTGTGCAGCGGTCTTTCGTGTAACTGTTGCGGATTTTCATTAGCCCAATAACGACAATTCTGCAGGTTAACCATGCTGTTTAGGTGAAAGTGGGCTTCGTCACTCATAGGCGAAAAAGCGGTGCTCCACCGTCCAAGGCTCCATAACGACAACTGGTAAAATAATGCTAGGATCTCACGAGTCAAACGGCACCCTCCCCACCTCTCTCGTAGACGGAGGCGGAGAGTACTACCCATCCCAAAAACGTCCGTCCTATCTGCCGCACCCTGTAGAAGCTAAACTGTGTACCGTATTTTTCCCTGGCATGCTAATTATGTAGTTGTACAGGGTGGCCGATATGTAACTGACTGGGTTGTATCTTGAATATTTGTGAAATGAAATAAAATACGTCCGTTTTTTTTCATCTTAAATTTTTATTGAAACTTAGAAATTATGTATGAAAAATAATATCAGACAAATATCCGCCTCTAGAAGCTGCGCAAACCTGAGCAAACATGAGCGCTCTTGATTATATTTTCTATCACGTTTTGGTAGGTTTCGGGAGGAATATTTTTAAACGCTTAAATTTTTATTGAAACTTAGAAATTATGTATGAAAAATAATATCAGACAAATATCCGCCTCTAGAAGCTGCGCAAACCTGAGCAAACATGAGCGCTCTTGATTATATTTTCTATCACGTTTTGGTAGGTGTCGGGAGGAATATTTTTAAACGCTTCCGCAATATTGTTCTTCAGCTGCTCTGCAGCACTTGGTTTGTTGGCATAAACCCTATTTTTCAAAAATCCTCATGAAAAAAGTCAGTAGCCGTTAAATCCGGTGACCTTGGTGGCCAGTTGGCAACACCAAATCGAGAAATTAAACGTTCCGGAAATATTGTTCGCTGTTTCCCTAGCTGTGTGACAGGTTGCTCGGTCCTGCTGGAACTATATGTTTTGCAGGTTAAATTGTTGGATTTGGGGAGCCAGAAAGTTTTGCACCATATCACGGTAACGCTCGCCAGTGACCCTAAGAGAATTACCTGCAGCGTCTTCAAAGAAGTAAGGTCCAATGACACCTCCATACCAAACACCGCACCAAACTGTGACTCGAGGAGGATGTAGTGGCCGTTGATGGATGACACGAGGGTTCTCTAATGCCCAGATACGACAATTCTGCTTATTAACAAATCCGTTCATATCGAAGTTTGCTGTTTATCAATTGTCTGTAAAAATCGTTATTTTGGGTATTAAGCTGCAATATTGCATGACTGTATTGTTGGCGACTTTCATGCTCACTAGGCTGTAGTTCTTGGGTTAACTGAATTTTGTATCGCCGCAAATGCAAGTCTATTTTTAAAATAGTGCATAATCACGTGCGACAAATACCCAGTTCTTGAGGACAATTGTCTGGTAGACGACTCAGGGCGCTCCACTACACTTTCACGAACTCTCTCGATATTTTCCGGAGTACGAACAGTTATAACACGGCCCGACCTTGGCAAGTCTTCATATTCACCTGTTTGTTCAAATTTCCGCACCAACTGACGAATGGTGTTGACACTGGGCATATTATTTTGACCGAAATCTTGTCGTAGCTTCCCAATCGTTGCAACGATCGACTAATTATTTAAGTTAAATCGTTTTAACAATACGGACGCATTGTGGGATCGTGTAGCGCTCCATGATGAATCGGACACATGTTTTCTAAACAACAACTACGGTGCCATCTACTGAAATGCGTGTATCAAAAATGGCGCGCAATTTAAATCAGTCAGTGATATATTGGCCACCCTGTATAAATTGCATGACATGTACTATGAATACATTTACACTAGCCTGATTACGGTTTTACTTGATGTTCTCTGTAGTAGTGGAGGTTGCTATTGCTTCGGACATTGAATATAACAAAACTATGGATATTCGTTAGACTTTTTAGAAAAAAATAAGCCTAACCATTATTGTAAAACCATGGTGTGGGAAGGCACATTTTCAACTAGGAAGCCAGTCACAGAAGTGGAATCTGATGGGTAAACGAAACCCTATTGAGTGTCCCATTTGACGTTTTTTCCTTTTTGTGCAACCATTATTGAATAAGCATAATATTCAGAAAATTGTTAAATTGCGTTGAAAGAGACACAAAGCTTTTGGACGGAAAACTACTTTATTCTAGAAAAAAGTATGGCTCGGATTTGAATTCTTATACAAGATTACCACTACGCTAAGGACTAAAATGCTTAGTTTCTGAAAACCGCTTCAGTCGCGGCGGAAAAAATGTCGAAAAATAAAAATATAAAAATAATTTTGGTATTATAGTTGATTGGGGGAGAATATATCTAAATTTTATGCAGTCTATTAAACAATAAAATTTTATAATACCGAATACCTTACACAAGGATCCATAATCCTTTTTTGATTGGTTCTACTATTTAAGTGGCAGTATCTAATGTTAGTAAATGTCTAAAATAAGTTTGGTATATCTGAAACAAGTTTTTAGACTTTTATTATTACTATTATTATTATTATTATTATTATTATTATTGACAGGTTAGTTCATTTAATAGTACAAAAAATCCAAATTCACAGCTGCTTCTTCAAAACCATTTAGGTAAAACATTGTATAAAATGACATTGATACAACTTTGTTGTGCAAAAGGACCATCGATGGTAAACATCAAGTTTTTATTTACTCCTCGCTAGACTGGTGCATATCGATTCCTGTTATACACAGTGTTCTAAAATACATCCTATAGAAATTTCCTCTATTTCAAAAAATAGCAACATTAACTTAATCCACCTGGTGTGGTTGCGAAATTTTAAAAATATGACTTTTGGGGTGGTTGTCATTAATCATGTTTATTTTTCGAGATACCGCAGCGGCCAATGTATTTCGGAGTCGTCGTGTTACCCAACTGTTTTACAACTCACGGACAAAAACTTGTAATTCTTTAACTTTCCAGGTAGTCGACGAGAGGGAGAACCTATGCCAAGTAGAGCCGTACCACACAACACTGTGCCTATTTGATGCCAAAAACGGTAGAAAGCTGACTGAAAACTTGTATTTTGACGTAAATAGCTCTAGCATAAGAAGTACCTTCAACACAACCATCGTTACCTGGGACCCAAACAAACTCGCGCTTCCATCCAACTTACCCTCCGAATGGCTGTTATACCCTAGACAGGCAATTCTTAGCATTACCAATCCCCATCCAGATATTTTTCTAGTCGTTAGGATAGAAAAAGTGCTGCAAGGTGGCATATGCCAGAGTTCGGAGCCATACGTGAAAGCTAACAAAGATCCGAAGATCAGTCAGAAGATCTATAAGAATATAGCCGCTTGCTGTCAAAGACTGGGGAAATACAGGATGCCTTTCGCGTGGACTGCCAGACCAATTTTTAGGTGAGGAATCGTGCCAGTTAATACTCGTATATAGGTGGACTTTTAATAAATGTTTTGTTATTAGAGATATGCTAACTTAGTAATACGCTATATCTCTGATGAACATATTCCACCAGGATGAAAAGGACATACATATGTACCATAGTTCTGCTTACCATTATTGCTTACAAACGTTATACGAGAATAAGGTGTAAGCTTTTGGCCTGGCACAGACATGGCAATAATAATACTTTTTTATTTCTCTCTTAAATAGTAGTACTATAACAAGTCAAGCTTCAGAAAAGTTGGAGAGACAAAAGTATCCACAGTATAGGAAATACAAAATTGTAAAACTAGCTTCAGTTTTAGATGAAAAGAACTCCAAGCTGTGAAAACAGCTCTCTAAAAAAATCTTGAGTTTTTGTTTGAATGCAACTAATGCTGGAGAATCCTTGATACCTACATCTAGTTTATTGGAGACTTTACAGCCCATATAACTATAATATTTTTGAAAAGTACTTGTGCGATGTTTAACAAATCTTTAGCTCTGACAGGGTAATTATGGCCATCTTTCTGTTTCAAAAATGTTGATTTGTTTTTATACACAAAAATTGACAACTCGTGTATCTAGATACTACCTAATGTTAAACGCTAATGTATATTTTCCATGCACCTAACCACCATATTTTTGTAGCAAAAAGACTATTAATAAGCTACATCCCTGCATAAAATGCTATAACACAAGGGCATACTTAATCTAAAATCTAATCATATTAGACGAAAATACCCCTGTTTGCGAAATAATTGTAAAGTCTGGTTTTATTGGTGCAAGTTGTTCAAGAAGGTTTCCAAAACATGGACACATAAAATGGGTACACCATTTTTTGTGGGAAAACTTTTTATTCGACAACAAAGAATGAGAAAACGTGTTTTTGGGATTCAATCGAAAGTGTTGGCAGGAACGAAAAAACCGTTTATATAAGATTTTTATGTATTTATGAGACCTACAAAATGAGATCATACGTAAAAAGAACCGACTAATAGCAAAAAAGCTATGCGATCTGCAGGTTTTGGTAATGCGACGATGGTTTCTCGCAGATATTTGAAATTTTTCAAATTCGTAGGATTCGTACTTCTAAATAACCATAACAAAATTGGAGTAGATTGGTCAAGTGGTTTTTAAGAATTTCTAATTGTTTATCCCAAAACACGTGTTTTCCGGCCATCACTACTAGTTCATTGAGCAATATACAGAGTTAGTTCAAAGCGCATTTTATAGCAAAATACACTAGTTTAAATGTTATTTTTATTCAAAAAAAGGATGGGTTACGTTTTTTCTTCTAAACATATTCAAATATTTCGTATTTGTGAGTAATCCGCAACAAAAGATAATAGACACATCCGCTTTGTTTCAAAATGTGTATAGTAACGTATGTTTTTCGAATATCGTAAAGCATTTGTTCAAATCCGAAATGTTTGAATTTGTTTAGAAGAAAAAAACGTAACCTTTGCTTTTCGCTTAAAAATAACATTTATCGTTCGGAATGGTTTGTTTCATATCGGTAAGGTAAACACGTGTATTTTGCTATTAAATGATCATTGAAAGAGCCCTGTAGCCCTGTATATTGCTCAATATACTAATAGTGATAGCCGAAAAACAGTTGTTTTGGGATAAACAATTAAAAATTCTCAAAAAACTACTTGAATATACTCCAATTTTGTTGTTATTTAGAAGTTTGAACCCTACGGATTTGAAGAATTTCAAGTAGTTGCGTAAAACTATCGTCGCATTACAAACAAGTGCCAAAACCTGCATTTTGCCTCGTATTTCGGCCATAACATTTTTGCTATTAGTCGGATCTTTTTACGTATGGTCTCATTTTGTAGGTCTCATAGATACCTAAAAATCTTATATGAAAAGTTTTTTCGTTCCTGTCAACACTTTCGATTGTAAAAGGTTTTCCCACAAAAATTGGTGAACCCATTTTATGCGTCCATGTTTTAAATACCCCATTGAACAACTTGCAATAATAAAACCAGACTTAACAATTATTTGGTGGAAATTTGCTAATATGATTAGACTAACTAAGAGGCAGAAATATATGCCATTTGCAGATTTGTGCATCTAGGGGGGTGCCTCCCTCTAAATCCACACTTGCATGGCGCTCCAAGCAGCGAAAATTTATAATTCCTGCTTGGCTTTACATATCATTTCGTTTGTATATCAAGTTTCAACTTGTTCTTTCAAGTATTTAGTTTGAAGTGAAGGTCTTGCGTGGTTTGCATAAAGATGGATAAACTTAAATATTGTGATCAAATTCTTAGTGTTAGATGGATTAACTCCGAACTAAATTCTTCCAATGTTGATAAAAGCTTACGGGGACTATGATTCTACTTCGATTTCAACTGTTAAAATGCGCGCAGTTGAGCTTAAACGTTGTCGTACATCCGTTGAAGATGAACCACGTGAAGGTCGGCCAAAAACCACAACACCTGAAACTATGGAAAAGGTTCACTATATCATGTTGCGTGATAGGCATGTCAAGGTGAGTAAGACAGCCAGGGCCGTGGGAATATCAGAAGGAAACCACTGGGATGAGAAGACTCAGCGCATGGTCGGCACCTTATTTGCTTGATTTCGATCAAAATCGGATGCGCAAACTACTTTTGCAGCAATGTTTGGACCAATTCAATTTCCGATTTGATGAGCCGATCGTTACCATGAATGAGAACGCCAGATACTCGTACAACCAGCAGTCGATGCAGTGGGTGAAAACCGGTGGTTCAGCTCCAAAGAGGAGAAGTCGATTGTAACATATCTGCCGGAAAGGTCATGTTTTGGGATGCGAAAGGAATTCTGCTCATTGATTACTATAATTATAGAACAATTACAGGCTAATACTATCCTATATACTCCCTTATGCTAAAATTGGCGTGATTTGAAGAAGAAAAGTTAGTTTTTCTCCAGGACGACGCACCTTCTTATAAGGTTTATTAGCAATGGTAAAACTGCAGGATTTGCTTGATTATCTTGATTTTGTACCCATCTATTCCCACTGCTTTCTAAACTTCCACTTCCAACAAAGAATCGTATCGTTGGATCAAGTGTGTTGGAGTTAAAGGGGACTATGTAAAACAACGAAGTCTTTTTTTTAATTGAAAATCGCAGTATCACGTTGTCAGCTCAAGAACTTTTCACCCTACCCTCGTAGGTGGACCACCGACTGTAGGCGCCAGACTTTCGGATTGCTGCCGCAGGCTATGGTATTTTTTTCCGTCGTTGAGAAGTTCTGAGAATACGAAATCTTAGGAATAATTACGGAAGTAGATGTCATGTTCATGGTCTCTAAAAGGAAAATAGAGAATAATATAAGTGAAATATGTACATTAATTTTGGATCGTAGATTAACAATGAAGAAAAGATATGTGTTAGTTCTTTATAAATTACATCATGTTTATATCAGTATTCAAAAGTCTCTCGAATACATCTATTTTTAATAATGATATTCGCTTTTTCTAATATATTTTGGTAACTTGTGATATAATTTTGGACCTAAGTACATATATATAGATGATTTAAACATTATTTCTTTTTTTTGTGTTGCAATAATTATTTGTTTATTTTTATTTCTAGTGCCATATTCATAATTTTCATAAATGGTCGAATGTTTGTTTTTATGGAATTCTAGTATATTATACCAAAATAATTTTTTTATATCTAAAACTTTTGATTCTATAAATAGTGATTTGAAGGGGTATAGTAAAGGTTTATTATGAATTGTTTTTATGAATCCTTTTGTATTACTTGTAAAAAATTTAGATGGTTATAATTCAGATAATAATTCCATTGGTTATGAGGCGTTCAACTAATGTTTGATATAACAATGTTTATTGAGTTTTTTTAATTTTAATAATTATGTGTAAAACATCCAAATAAATAAGGTTGGATATCTTGGAGAACATGTTAGTATGTGGTTATACAAAAACTAAAAATCTCTTTTATCATGGATAACAAGTCATATTTTTTTATAATATACGGACGCGCAATGCGTGGCGGTAGTGATTCGATGTTAGGGCGGTTGATACGGATTCGACGTTGTCATATCAAATACGATGATGCTGTGACTGGACATCATTTCCACCAGGATAAACTCAATATTCACTAACGCTCCATCATGCCAATTTTAAGGCAATAGAAAACGGGTATACAATTCAATTCACCTACTGATTTTAAACAGAACAGATTTTTCTGCATCATATCTAAGAAAAACCCCTGATTAAGTTACCTTTAAAATAAAAAAGAACTTCTTTGGTTTGGTACCTATTTTAAGTTTTTAATTAATTACTATTTCTGGCTAATTATATTCGTAAGCAGGTGTGATTTAACAAATAACACTATACGGTTTTTTGCAGACTTTATAGTAATGAACTAGATACAACATCGGATTTTCACGCTTTGTATAGACAAGAGCCAAATAAGTTGACAGACGAAGAGATGTTGAAGCTACTCTCCGACTATAGAAAACCAGATAAGTTTAATAAATTCACTGTGATTCCAGGATCTTTAGAGATAAAAGTAACTGCTTTTAACGAACTACCTCCAAGTAAGATATTTTTCTGTTTTTATACGTATTTATTTTTTTACGTTCTCATGTATACAGCAAACTCTTCAATTATATTTTCGAAAAAACAGCTGTAATGCCCCTGTTATTATTACGCTGATTTCTTGTGCAGGTTGATTGTCGAAACTTCCCTCAAATGCAACATAATAATGCATTGTCTTAGCAAAACGAAAGCACCTATTACAGCAACGCCCAAGTTTAATTTGCACTTCTTGTTTTTCAGACTCCCTAACAACGTCTTTGGCTCCCTTGAAGCCCTTCCCTATCCCTCCCACAGCTGAACCAACAGTAGAAGTAACGGAATTTGAAGGGTTATCTGAGAAAGATATCAATCCTTACACCACTTTTACCAATCATCTTTACGTTTATCCACTGTTATTGAACTTCGATTCTCAAAAGAATTTTACTCGAGCCAGAAACATTGCTTGTGTAGTTGAACTTAGGGATTCGGATAATGAAGAAGCAAAAGGACTTCAGGTAAGTAGACTTTTTGCTATCACAAATTTGCACGCGTGGATAGTCCGTTTGGCGTGGTTTGTGTAGACTTGCCAGCACTTATGACCCATCCAAGCGAGTGACACTTTTTGAGCACAAATCCAAAGCGTTTGCGGCAAATATCTGTGTAATAGCGGTGACAGGTGTGCTATTTTAGATGTGATAAAAGTACTGGATGCAGTAAAGCAATTGCAAATTTATAGATGGTTCCATAAATGTAGCAAAATGTTTGCGGCACAGCACAGGTATGTGCGTCCAAAATAACGAATTTTACTTCGACATTGGTTTTGGAAAATATGATCGACACGTGATTCTTATTGATTTTTTAGATATTTGAAATTCTGCTGTTTTCAGTGTATATATGGCCGACCTGGCCAATCCCCTCTAGTCTCTCAGATGTCCTGCGCTGTTTTGCATCATAACACGATACCAATGTGGTATGAAGAAGTGAAAATTCGATTGCCAACAAACATTCTACAAACGCACCACTTGTTATTTACGTTTTACCATATTTCCTGTGATATCACTAAGAAGAGAGAAAATGGGATAGAGAATTGTGTAGGGTATGTTCGACATTTACGTACTTTGTCCGTTATAAGTGACAATTTTTATGAAACATGAATGAGGAAATACCATTTTGATAGAAATGTGTGCAAGACTTAACAGTACTGTGAAAAATAGAATTTCACAGACCTTTCTTGACGCTTGAACGACGTTGGAGGAAAAAATATCTCATTGGAAACATTGAAATGATGGAGCCTATAGACCAGGAGGCTACGGCAATGCAGTTCGTGTAAAAACGACGCCTAAACTTGACGTCTTGAGTACCAGTGGTGCTTTGAAAGGGTTGCCATGTTGGGGGATTCTTACTTGAGCAATTTTTGGGAATGGAATGTTCTGGGAGATAGAAGACCCCCTTCGGTATTTGAACCAAACCTACCACTTTCCATTAGTTAACTGTCATTTTTGGGATTTCTTCTTGAAAAAGTATTAATTGCCTGGCAAAGCCAACATTGCTGTACTCTATTCTAGTACTCGTCATCATTCTTAAAAATCAAGTATTATAAAGAAAACAGATACCTGCAGATTCAAGAGGCCGGATCTTAGCACAGCGCTACCAGATTGGTTGGACAGAATGTCACCAGAACAAGCACCTCTATCCCTCGGAGTTGCAACTTTTTTGAAAGAAAATTCCCCAAATCACAGCTAATTAATGGAAAGGGGTAGACTTGGTTCAAAGAGCGAAGGGATACTTTCTATCCGCGAAACGTATGATATTCCCTAGAAAATTCTATACGCAAAAAATTCCACAAGTAAGACTCCCCCGAATCTGGAGAATTTTACCCCATCGTGGCAACCCTCTCAAAACAATTCCGGTACTCCAGAGGTGATTTCCAGTGGCTTTTGGTTTGAGACTGATGTGCTCCCCAGTTGCTCTAGAAAGAATGCATGAGCACTACAGAGTTAATCGGAGTTACTCCAAGGAACTTAATTAGGTCTTTGGAAAGCAACTCTGGTATCAAGCTTCGGAGTCGTTTTTATAGCACGAGCAGCGTTGCCGTTGGTTCCCCTGGTATATAGACTCCGTGGAGGGTTTATAAAACTGACTCTCAATATGTCGTTGATATCGCGGCATTTGGAAATTATTCCAACAAGTATCAAAAACTGTGGATATGGCTGAGGAATGCGATATTGTTCATAAACATCATTTGTTTTCTAAACTAATAACCATAAGGATTGACTACTGATAATACATTTTTTTTTTAGATATGCGTGGTTGCCTTTATTACAAAAAGGCAAACTGAATGTTGAAACACAAATGATATCTGTAGCGTCACATTTGCCACCAGGATATTTGTCTGTTACCCCCTTTGGTCTTGGTAAAGGAGTGAGTAGCATCTTTTATCAGGTTATTTTCACACTCAAAATATACTTCAATGCATGAAGCACGGGTAGCTGGAATGTAGTGGAATTTGTTATGTAATATTTGTTCAACAAATATAATGCTCTCTCAGATGTTTTTTAATCTTTATACACACATTTTCATTTTCAGAACGCTGGCCCTGAAATAGCTTGGATAGACAGCCAGAAGCCAATTTTTACGATAGCTTTGAATCTAGTGTCAACAATAAACACAAAAGACCAACATTTGTATAATCTTTTTGTACACGCGGAGAAATTGTTAGACACCAAGCCTTCAGTAGTTCCAGCAGAAAGTGAGACTTGCAAGATACTGAAAGCCCTACATGCCATCCATCTTACTACGCTTATTACTTTTTTACCGACGTTGTTCAACCAACTGTTCACTCTTTTGGTAAGCACTAATTTCTCTGTTAAAACATAAATAAAGAAATTAAAAAACTCTTTAACAGCAAATCTAACTAAAAAGTAGTAACACAAACTCTCCTAAAGGTTGTCTCAATAAGAGCATCGGATTTGATTTTTAAGAAAAACACAATTTCTTTTCGAATTAAGCGAGTATTTATATTTCAACACGAAGAGGAGTAGTTGCGATTGAATTTGAAATGAAATAGAACATGCGGTAAATGGCCACCATGAAACATCTGGCACAGGGTCAGTCTTTTCTCTTCTTTAAGGCGTTCTACTGTTAGTGGCTTGTTCTCATACACATTTTCCTTCACCTAGCCCCAGAGGAAGGAGTCCATTGGCGTTAGATCGCACGATCTTGGTGGCCAATTTTGATCGCCAAACCGAGAGATCACATAGTCTGGAAACTTGGTCCGCAGTAACACTATTGTTTCGCGTGATGTGTGGCAGGTCGCACCATCTTGTAGGAAGAACATATCCTCCACATCAATTCGATCCAACTGAGGACACAAAAACTCGGTTAACATTTCGCGATACCGCACACCATTAGCAGTTACCGTAGTTCCAGCTGCATTTGCGATGAAATACGGTCCAGCCACTCCACAATGCGCACCAAAAGGTATCTCGCTGCGGATGCATTGGTTGTTTGATCATCACACGAGGGCTTTCAGAACCCCAAATTCGGCAGTTTTGCTTATTGACGAACCCGTTCAGTTGAAAATGTGCCTCATCGGAGAAAATGATGTTCTTCGAGAAATCCGCATCAATTTGGTGGTGCTCCAGCGCCCAATCAACGAATCCACGGCGCTGCGCATGGTCCGTTGGCTTGAGTTCTTGCGTCAGTTGAACCTTGTACGCATGCAAGCACAGATCTGTTGTCAAAATTCGTTGCAGAGTGGGTCTGGTAAGGTTCAATTCTTGGCCACGATGCCGAATGGAAGTGCCTGGATTCTCGGACACTCTTAACCGCACTGCGACTATGCATATCTTCGAGGGAGCGACCAGGGCGGCGACGAACAGTGGTCTTCACATTCAGGAACGTGAATTTTGCCTCAAATTTTGTAATTAAACGGTGAACTGTCGACTCATTTGGCTCATTATTGCGGCCCAAAATTATATGTACTTTACGAACTGTTTCCGCGTAATCTTCTCCATTTTTGTAGTGAGTTTTCACAATAATTAGACGTTGCTCGTTTGAATACTGCTCCATGACGTCTAATCGCGTGGTATGGACATGACACCATACCATTTGAACAAAAAAATCGCGGCAAATTCAAATACGGCGCTCTTGTTGAGACACCCTTTATATTTGGAAATTATTTTCCACTTTTTAGTTCAATTTGGAATTAGAGCCTGTTTTTTTTTTTTAGTTTTTCAAATTATAATTTATTTTCTGAATTTTTAGTCTCAAAACGACAACAAAAGTAATCATAATCAAGAGCTTCGGATGGCATGTTTTATATTTGACAATCAATTCATCATCATAAATAAATACATGAGTCACGTGTTCAAAATAAGTATTTTGGATTATGGAACTGTGCAACTTCTATCAAGGATAAGTTGGACTGGCTTGAATTAACTCGAGGTCTGCTCGAAAAAACCCTTTAAGGTTGTACGGAGGTTTCCGCATTGCCAACCAATCCTAGACCTATATGTCCACTTAGTCCTTCAGCAGCCAGGGTATCAAAGGAGACAACACAATGTCTTGCAGCCCTCCACACGGACTGGAGATGGAATTTCTCCGCCCCCCCCCCCTCCACCAATACAGGAGGCTCTTTGAAGTCACGCGGGTAGGGCAGATGAGATGGTAGCTGCCTTACGACCACCGGATGCTCGCACAAATAGAATGAGTTCGTTCCTGCCAGATATTTGGCACAAATAAATTAATATCACTCTCTTTCGGAGAACCCAATGAAAACATATTCAGGCGAAGATGCGGGCGGCCTTGAACCGCTGTGTATTGTAAACTTTTGATAAATAGAATAACTCTGTATGTAAAATAAATAAATTTTGATTGACTTCTGCTCTGGAATTGACAGCTGTCAATATCACAAAATGTGAGAAAAAACGGCAAAATTCGCGATTTTTTTTCAATTTCCTGTGTCCTGAATTGAAAACTCAGCCACTTCAGAAAACCCCACTTAGTTACGGCGGCTTAGCCATAACCAGCCTGGTGTATAATGAAGATATAAGATTAAATTACATTATTATCAACTAAGTGCTTTTTTTATTAATATTTACCTTATTTACTTGGGGAGGGAAAATCTATTTGTCAATAGGGCATTGCGGTCAATAATGGTGATTTCTCTTGTTAGCAGTGAAAAATATACTTATCTGCATAGTCTGTTCATCAAAAAAATGTGTTATTTTTTCTTACAGGTTGTGACTAATAGCGAAGAAATTGGTCTAAATATAATAAGGGTTCTTATAAATCTAGTAAATATGCTATATGAAGCCAATCGTAGAGATATACTACAATCGTATGTAAAGTACGTGTTTGTCATTCCCGAGACAAAGAAAAACCGCACGGTGCATGAGGAAATGTGCAAGCATTTACCTGTAATTTTGCATCCTAATAACACCGATTTTCTCGTCGTCAACAAATTTATGCATCATTCTGATTTTTTCTTTGATATCATTATCAAAAGTATGGCGCAGTTTTTATTGACAACAGGAAGAATAAAGGTAAGGGTTATTTTGAGATAGCCACAACTACATGGCCACAAACGTTATAGCAGGTAACAGGTGAAGCTGCCTGGTAGATATACAGTATATATTTGTCTGAAGTGAAGGGTGTTCCAAAATTTACCCAAGAATTGAATTAAATAGAAAACACAGTTTTTGTCTTTAGATTATTTCTCTATTGAACTATAACGTATACATACGTTATTTATGGAATAACCAAGACTGGCCTCCTTGACTTTGCTGGAACATATGACCTCGTTTTTCGATATCTCCCATGACTATTTTGCAAAAAATATGGTCGAATTTCTTCGAGCAACAATTATCTGTAGGCTTATTGACGTAAACTTCAGGCTTCAAGTTTGCTCATGAAAATGAATCCAATGGTGTTAAATTACGTGATCTAGGGGGTCAATTCTACATAGATGACTAATAAATGTCTCGCGTAGTGAATGAATTGTTCCACGGGCTGTATGTTATAGACATCAGATTTATCCAATTTATATAGAAAGAATCCCGCAGATTCTCGTGCATTGAAGCAGGGAGATCAACAGTGCATCCACGAAATTCAGCTGATTTGTGCAAAATGGTCATGGACTGTTTCGAGAAAAAGGTGCGTATTGTATATGCATTTAGACAGAAACTTGTTATTTATGTAAGTTAAATCATGTGTGAATTTTGGGACATCCGTTATGAGACTCAATAAACGTTAAACCTTTACTCGTAATATTTTATCTGTTTCCTTTGATGTGACTTTCAAGAATCCTATATATATATATATATATATATATATATATATTCTTAACACATATTTTGCCGATTGCTGGTAACCAGTGTTTTAGCTAATAATTCATCACGGTCATGAAAACTTTCGTTTTTAGATGATTATCAAACAAGTAGGAGTACTTCTGATGTATCATGAATTTTGTATTTCAGATGCACAGACACGAACGATTTAGCTCAGATTATTTAGAAAAAGTGGACCATTTGATACAAGTTTTGATACCATATGTCTTAAATAAGTACAAAGAAATGCCTTTAGAAACTAAAGAGCTTAATAAAAGTCTGGCACATTTTTTGAAGGTAACTACTAACTGTATAGATTCTGTTTTATTTTTTCCTAGAAATAAAGAATTACAAAAATCTAGTACTGAAACGGCGCGCCTTATTGGAACTTTAAACATCACCATTTCAATGAAATTCATTCGAATTGGGATTAATGAGAGATTTTAGTTTTGATCATGTGAAATTTCAGTTTATGGATGAAGTGCATCGTAATGCTTATATAATTACAGGAATTACAATTCTGCAAGTAACAGGATTGATATATTTAACTGCAGAATTGCAGACATAAAAAATACTATTAAGTAACCAGCATGTATCTTTTACACTTTGTAGTCTATTACTTATTTCTTATTATTGTCTTTTATATCTGTGTTATGTTCTGTGTTTCCTCACCCTGTAATTGGTATTTACTGTAGGGTGTTGTAATGAATAAAATAAAATAAATAAAAATAAAATAATTATATTTTTCGTTTTCAGAAATGCTTGTCGCTAGTAGACCGAGGCTTTGTATTCAAACTGATAAATTCCTATATGGACAAATTCAACCCTGGCGATCCCAGGGTGTTACAAGAGTACAAATTTAACTTCCTAGAAATCGTTTGTAACCACGAGCACTACGTTTCTATCAACTTGCCAATACAGCATAATAAACTAAGTCCTAGAAATAGATCTCCTGATCATTCTCAAGAATTCACATTGTCTGAAGAATTCTGCAAGCACCATTTCATCGTTGGACTGTTATTGCAAGAGATAAAGACGTCTTTGAACGAAGTCACGCATATCAGAAAGATCGCCTTAAATACCTTGAGGAATCTCATCGCCAAGCATGAAATGGATGATAGGTAAAAACCTATTAACTAATTTAAGTGAAAAACCTAACATACGACTAAGCTTAACAATAGTCATGTTCATTGTACAATATCATAGAAATTGCAAAACATTGTTTCCTATCGATATATACATAGATATATATATATATATATATATATATATATATATATATATATATATATATATATATATATCTCGTTGTTTTCCGTAGCTATTTTCCTACCGTGTGCACAAGGTCAGTGCAGGTGTGCCCCAGGGTTCGGTCTTGGCTCTGACATTGTTCCTGTTACATATCAACGACCTCCTTTCCTACACCCCCCAGACTTCGGCCTTCCATACTAACCGTATCAAACTTCTCACATCCAGAACTGATCGAAGCGACAGTTCCTCTATCCCTAGGTTATCGAGATTGTTTAACAATTTACCTGAGTAGGCTTTTCCCAGTTCTCCTAACTTTAGGCAGTTCAAAGATCGGATTAACAAAGTTTCTTCAAGCTCCTCATAGCAGCTACGGTGCACTGGTATCTAGGCTTCTGCCTACGCAAAAAGCATTTTTCGGTATAAAAAATCCATTGAGCTGATTTTTATGTAAGACTGATTAGCAGTTAAAATCGAATCCTGACTTTCAGATATAAGAGAAAAGGTCAAATGAGCCGAATAGCACTACTGTATCTACCGTGGCTGAGCATAGTACTCGAAAATTTGAACAGGCTAGACGTAAAATGCAGTGAAGAAGAAGAAGGCGATGGAACCGATAATCTCATAAATAGAATGTCGTCAAGTAGTTCGTATCTGTTTGGCAAGAGTTCAGCAGTTAGTGATAGTACACCGAGAAGTCACAGATTTACGTTGCACTTAGACAAAGACAGTCCGATGCATTTTAGGAACTCTGCGTTCTATGAGGCGATTGCGGGACAATGTAAGGATTACTTTATTACTATTTTTGTATTTGTGCATTTGGTATCGTGCCTCTAGACACTACATAATTTTCACGTGTCAAACTGATTCTTAAGTACCTCATGGGAAGAATAAGGCTGAATATATTTCACTCATACAAAATTGCAGTAGTAACATAAAGAACGAATCGACATTCAACAAATGTATTGAACAAATCGACAAACATTAAATTAAGTGGTGGTTTTAGAAGGGTTGGAGAGGAATTATAAAAATATTTCATGTTGTAGTACAAAATTTAAAAATATGAAGTTAAATGTATGCAGGAGGTTGGTAGTTGAATATGAATATTTTAATTGAGCTAAACATATCTAAATATATCTAGAACTACTTGTTATCCAGTTTGTAAAGGTAATATATATGTCTCAGCTCTCGTAAATGGGAACTCCATGAGCATAGATTCAGACATATCAGCAATCTCTGGCGATGCACAATCGACAATATCACAAGATACAACCATAGTGAAAGAGGACGGTCTCAAAAATGGTGAAGTGAAAACTCATACAAGAACTACGTCACACATTCAGCGGTAAGTTAAAAAAATTTTACCTCTTGCGTTTCAGATGCAGAAGCTATTATATATTTTGATGTTTCATGACAAACTCCACGAAAGGTCATGTTATGCAGCGCTAATGTGAATGTGAATTAACATTAATATCATCCTTTAATTTACAGGTACGATAAGTTACATCAGCAAGAAGCCAAAGACATCCTACTGGCCTTCCTATTCGTCGTTAAATATGTCAGCGAAGACCAACTCATAATGTGGTGGCAGCATTACAACGAATCTGATGTACTAAACTTTTTCCTGGTACTCGAAATGTGCCTTCATTGCTTCAAATATACGGGTAAACGTAACGTGAGTGTTTTGAGGATGGGAGAGGGGGACAGTGCTAAGGTAAAGGCCAAAAAGGCGCATACTTTGCCTGCAAGGATGAACCCTTCGGAAATTAACCATGAACCCACTAGTACGTTAGTCATTCATACTACCAGGGAGAATTTGGTCGCCTCAGGTAAGATAAAATATTATTTAACACAGTATGCTGTACATTGAAAAGTGAAAACATCATTACTTCTATGAAGTGTTTTTTTTTTAATATGATGGACGAATCTAGCCTCCACGCAGGCGTAAGTGCTGATGGGTACTGTGGTGCTATGAGGGGAATAGGTGGACGACATATGATAATGATAATAATAATAATGTTTATTGATGAATAAATACAATTTAGGAGCAAAAGAAAAAATACATGTCCCGCAATAAACATATAAAACACCACAAGAAGCAAATGTTTGTGGGTGGGGGAATATACTCATTGAGGTCGTATACTTTCAACTTATCATTACCCTGCTAGCACATTTTTAGCTAAATGAGGTTGAACATTTATAAAATATAATGATAAAAGCTATTAGAATATACAAGGCGTTAATTTTTTTTATTTTAAAAACCTACATCTATAAAACAGAAATATAAAAGTATTACCTAACCACCGGTTCACCAATTTGTTAAAACATCTATACTTTTTTAAAAGAGACAAAAGACAAAGACACAGTAATGAACTTTATCAATAAAGAAAAAAACATAATAGATAAGTCAAACATTTATATTATATATAATAAAATCGGTAACAGATTTTTTTTAAATATCAACATGACACAATAAAAGTATGTGTAATATTTTACCTATTTTCTATAATTCTATGAATTGTCCCTTTTCAAATTTTGGTAACGAAGATATTTTTTTATTTCATTAGGCAGCAAGTCAAATAATTGACTGGCTAGATACGTATAGCATCTTTGTCCTATTTTTTTTTTTGTAGACAAAGGAGTCCTGCTTATTTTATTAATTTTGTTTCTAGTCGAATAAGTATATTGTATCGGTACTAACGTATGTTTGTTTTTAAATTGATATACCAATATACTGAACGAAAACAATTACCGAAGATCTAAAGTTTCTGCATCTCTATACAGCTGTTCTGACGGATAGTCTGTTTTTATCATGAATTATTTTTAAAAATTGTCTTTCTAATACCTCAAGTTTAGAGCTCCACCCCAAGCTAATAAACCATAACGCAATCTAGACTCCACCAGAGCTTGGTAAATAATTTTCATGGTCTTTTGATCCAGATAATTACGTAGATATTTTATTTTAACTAACAGACGTCTCAAGTTCAAGATAAAATGATCAATATGATCATTTCATGTGTGAATCCAAAAGTACGCCCAGATATTTGATTTTGTTGATGAATGATTTCGTGAGTACTTTCTGAATTTTGTTTTATCTCAATAGCAGTATAATCAGGAAGCCTTCTTTTATCATTGAACAACGGCACAAAGATCGTTTTTTGGTAATTTATATGGTCTCATAGTTTTTTTGAAACACATGTCTTCTTTTTATGGAGGAGGTAATTAAACATATCTCTTTTCCTCTCGAAAAATAAACTTGTTCAGCTTTAGTACATTGTAAATCTGTGTTATGTATGTCATAAGGGTTGCAGTGTAGCTCAAACCATGTTAGGGTTATCAGAACCCTTCATTCTGCAAACAAAATTCCACCCCCTTGAGGGCAAGTTGTATAGGTACGGCTAACGACGCTCATTAGTCTTCTATTAGTAAACTAAATCGTTTAACATTCCGCATAGGGTTAAACAGCTATGAGATGATGTACAGGTTTTGAGAATAATTGCTGCAAATACAACTGCGATTGGTCAAATAAGCATTTTGGGGTTAAAAAAAATTTGAATTTCAAGCTGATTTCTCTTTTGTTTCTAAACTAAACTATATAATATACAGTTTAGTATTTTCCGCGGAGGGTCCTAAAGGTTAAAGCTATTTGATAATTTATTGGTGTTGATAATAACTTCTGTTTTCATAAAGTTTTTTACGAAAATAAAAGTTATTCTCAAAACCTATATGTCAACCTATAGCTACTTAACTTTTGGGGCCGTACGCGGAGTTACAACATTGATTCTAGTAACAAAAGAGGTATGCTAGATATTAAATTTTTTTCTAACTTCAAATTTCTTATTTGACCAAACAGCGTCATTAGGCGTATCTATACACACCCTTTTAATACGTCTAGTATATCAAAAACAAGGGCAGAGAGCTGGTGCCTTCCCACTTAGACGCTCAGCTTGTTTTTTTTTCACTAAAATGGTAATCGCGAGACGTGTGCCGTCCTTCGTAGACGTATCCCACTCCCCACTCTTCATTTCGTTCACTCACAGCGCATAAGCATGCAGCCGGCACCCCCCTCCCCAACGCCCCCCCCCCTCCTCCTGAGAAGCCAGAAGCGGTTATACTTTCTGGTAGACAGAAGCTAAATTCACTTCCGAGACTCGAAGCCAAAATACGATGAAGTACACTTTTTGAATAAGAACAAAAATACAAACTTAATGAAAAGAAAATATTTATTACTATCAACATATTCGTAAATTCGGCGGGTCTTATTTCTTAAATATCATTCCGTCCAAATGTTTGCCATTCCTTCGGACACACTCTTCTTATCGCGCGCGCAAATTCTAAAACACTCCCTTGCAGAGTTCCGGAGTGATGTTGTTTATTTCTCGTCGAATGTTGTATTTAAGCTCCTCCAATGTTCGTGGATTATTGGATTATACTTTTGACTTTAGATAACTCCACAAAAAATAATCGCATGGCGTGAGGTCGGGTGACTTAGGAGGCCAGTCAATGTCTCCAAACATAGATATAACTTTTTGAGGAAAAAGTGCTTTCACCGTGTCCACCGATTCTCTGGAAGTATGGGCAGTGGCCACCCAAAAAAGTGTCGATCATATCCTTGTATCGCTCGGAATTGACTGTCAATGCATGACTGTTTTCATCTTCAAAGAAATACGACCCAATAATACCGCTAGATGATATGGCACACCGAACAGTCACCTTTGGACTATATAGCTGTTGTTGATGTTTCTCTTTTGGATTCGCTGGTGCCCAATATCTGCAATTTTGCTTGTTCACATGACCGTTTAAGTGAAAATGGGCCTCGTCACTGAAAGCAACGTTCTCGAGTCTGCGCTGCGCAGGAAAAAGATTCAACATAGGTTCAGCACAAGATTTGCGTAATACGTATTCACTTTCCTTTAAAGCATGGACTGATTGGATTTTAAAAGTATGAAGACCCATTTTTTTGTTTATTATGCCATGCAGTGTTGACCTAGGGATTCCCAAAGCCGCGGAATGCTTCCGTACAGAACGCCGAGGATTTGCAATGACTGAATCACTTACTCGACTCACATTTTCTTCGGTTGATACAGTAGGTGGGGGGCCATGAATGGGTTGACTTAAGAGTAGAGCCTGTTTGTATCGTGTACAAAATTTACGAAGGACAGCTGCGTATGAATTACCACTCTTAAAGTAAGCCTCGATGGCAAAAGCACGTTGCGCTCCGGTCCAACGTTATATTGTGACTACTTAACCCGCACACCGAACCCGTCGATCAAGACCTCTCTCCACTTCCTCGCGTATATTGTTGCTGGGTAATTGAAATTTGAAATGTGAACTTTTCCACTGGACACCCTGTACTTAGGTGTGCGGCTCGACAGTGACCTGAAAATGACTGAAACCCATAAGGTACCACTGATGAGCTAAATAAACTCGTTACATAACTGATACCGCTGATGCCATCTTATGGGAGCCCCAGTAGCGAGACGCATAGGATTTTAGCAGGGGCGCCAAATTCGATTACGCTGTACGTAGACCTTAACTACAACCACGCCCTGAGAATAAATATAGACGGATAATGCCCAGAAGCCAGAGAAAGGTGGTGCTGTGAGTGGTCTTTATGAAATAATCTGCTGCCAATGTTTGGCATCGGTGATTTTTCACTTTTCTACGTTGTTTCAACTAAAGTTTACAAACATCAAATATATCTATAATGATGTATTGTATATTTTTTCATTCATTATTTTCATTCAGAATATTATTCCCTATTTTAGAAAATGAAGTACACAAAAAACAACAAGCAATCTTGGAACAACATCTCGCGAAAGAAGTAGGTCTGATTACGCTAGACTGCATGGGTTTGTACTGCATGCACTTCAGGAAAAATCTGCTAAACTCTGATGGCGACAATGATATCATGAAAAAAATGTTCGACCTCTATCTCACTTTTATACAAATTGGACAGAGCGAAAATTTGTTCAAACATGTGTTCGCCGCCTTGAGGTCTTTTATCAACAATTACTCTGTCGTATTATTCCAAGGTATGTATCAGCTATTTCCATAAAGTTAGAACATTCATCGTAACTATTGGATGACTGATGATGATACAGAAATGGAAAGATCGCTATACTACTGGCAGTCAGGCATCACTTAAAACTGAAGAAACACCTGCTTTTTTTAGGCAATGCTGTGCTTTGTGGAAGGCTGTGCTACGAGCTACTGAAGTGCTGCAATAGCAGATTGCCATCGATCCGTCAAGAATCGTGTGCAATACTGTACTTGTTGATGAGGAGTAATTTTGAGTTTACTGGCCGCAAAGGATTGACTAGGGTGCATCTGCAAGTGATCATATCCGTGTCGCAGATGCTTGGTAACATTGTTGGACTGAACAACGCCAGATTTCAGGAGAGTTTGTCTTTGATCAATAGCTATGCGTCGAGTGATAAGGTTATGAAGGGTACTGGTAAGTATGTAATGAAAAACATGCGAACAGACCAAGCAACCTTATGATTTCTACTAAAAATACTTCAAAGACTATGGATAATAAATATAAGTTGTTTTTTAAGGTTTTCCTGGTGAAGTAAAGGACCTCACAAAGCGAGTAAGGACGGTGCTCATGGCGACCATTCAAATGAAGGAGCATCATCATGATCCCGAAATGTTGGTTGATTTACAGCATAGCTTAGCAAATTCGTATGCTTCGACGCCTGAATTGAGGCATACATGGCTAGAAACGATGACTAGAAATCACGTCAGAGATGGAAACTTCTCAGAGGTCAGAGATTTATTATCATAATAATAATAATCTTTATTCCAACGGGATATACCCAATCACAGGAACAATACAATTGGAAGTGATATCACAAAGACATCAGACATACATGTGATATAAAAGTATAAGTAAAAGTAAACAAGTAAAAATAAAGTAAATAAAAAAATAGAGACAAAATATATTATAATTATATTATCTCAGCATGATTCAAAACTTGTTCTATGTGTAGTAATGACAAAGTCAACAGCTATTGGAGCTCCATTTTCTGACAAATGCGATCAATTTTATAAACTAGGCATCAAAGAGTATTAGTGTGTAGTTTAACACATTCAAGTATTTACTTCCCACGCCACTGGCGAGGAAATATTGTAATTGCGAAAACTTTCTAAAATGATATTATGTGGGTGCCCCGCTATAAGGTAACCGTTCCACTAACTTTTTTGTATGAACGTTTTGCATAAATAAGTGCATATCATCAAATGACTCATAACATTTAAGTTTTTTACTAAAGTAATGGGGATAAACATAATAGACCATATATACTTACAGGGTGCGGTAGCATAACTTCCTTTTTTCAAAACTCAGTTAAACACATTGTATGAATGAGAACATTTTTATTTGTTTCTTATAATTTAGGCTCATGCCTAAAGTTTTGTTTCACATAGTTTTGAAGATCAAATCAGATAGGTGATGCCCCTCATTCTCCATACGCTGAATAAGCCGATTTCCGACGTCGTAACTGTTGCCAGCATAGCAGGCGTTACGTTGGCAATTTTTTCCTTGACGTTGGTCTATAAATCTTGTAGGTTCGTTGGAACTGTTCTTATAAACACGGGATTTAAAAAAATCACAAAAGGTCAATTGGGAGGGCGGCCGGCCATTCCAAATCGCCCCTAATTGAGATGAGGCGCTCTGAGAAATGTTCTCTCAAAACAGACACAGATGCTCTTGAAGTGTGTGCCGTTGCACCGTCTTGCTGGAATTAAATGTACCCGAAGTCCAAGTCATCTACCGGTCCGAATGCACTGTCACTGAGACTTCATTTTCTTCAAAGAACCAGGAACGAACAATTCCAGCTGAGCAAATTGCACACCACATTGTGACTTTGGGTAAATGCAAAAGCCTTTCATGCAATTCTCGACGATTGGTGTCAGCCCAGTAGCGCATGTTTTGTTTGTTGACTGATCCACACAGATGAAAATGGGCTTCATCACTAAAAAAAAAAAAAACAATAGCGTCCTCAGGAACAACTTCGAGAAGTCGCTCACACGCGTTCATTCGCGAAGTCACGGTCAGAAACTTCCTGCACAATTGTTATCTTGTAAGGATGGTAATGAAAATCATGACGAATTCACACAGAACGATCGCAAAGTCCAAAGGCGGCGACTGTCTGAAGCCGAACGCTGTAATGTAATTCTCACATCGAGCGTTACATTACAAAGTTTGTGATTTGAGTCCACCGAATGTTCACGTAGAATGCTCTTCTCAAAAATGCCCCACATTTTTCTACTGCAGTCTGTGTCAAAATATCACACCTAGAAGTAGCCTAGTGCTGCGTTCATATTAATGGGCTATTGCAACCTAATGAAAAAGAAAACACACGGTGGTGGCAGACAGATTTATTTAGGGCAAGAGATTTAAATGGTGGTGCGACGTTAATGACTATCTTAAAAAACGAAGAGGTGTTGCCACGCATCATGTTTCTTGATTTTGTTATAATATGCCGCATGTGACGGATCTAATAGTATCGACTTCACCCAGTCGCCGCCTCAAGGACGCATGTTTCCGTGTAGAACGCAGTGGTGATTGCAACATTGAACTCTCACTGTTTTCAGGTGATCTAATGGGTCTAGGAACTAAATGAAAGCAATTTAGAAAAGCGCGCTGGGTTGTAAAAAGTAGGCCTCAACCGACTGAGTGACCCGCATTTTAAAAAAGGAAGTAATGCTGCCGCACCCTGAAATCAGAAAAAGGCGGCTCTCATTTTCACTAAAAATGTACAGGGTGTTCTATTAAAAAACACTTTATTTGATAGCATTTTTCTCAGTGTATATAAAAACATATTTTAGAATCTACAACTTTTGTATAAAATTTTTTTTCTGAAAGGTCATGCAAAAAAGGTCTGTCTGCCCGTCTATCCCCTAATCCTCGATCCGTCTATGACGTGAAAGGAGCTGCTGGGATTTGGATAAAATTTCCTCGCAAGCTTACTACTGCTATGTCAGTGTTGAAAAACATTTGTAGTCTTTGAAAATCAGTCTAGTGGCTGGCGGTGGAGCTAGGGCCAAAAAACAAAGCAAATAAAAATCGCTCAATCTCCATTTTTTGACATATCAGAGGCTCCAGATCATTTTCAGAAAAATTTCTCTAAGGGTTAATAATTGTGGGTTTGAGGTTGTACGGGATGGGAGTGGATATATCTCAATTTCATGACGTTAGTATATTTCATACATCATAGATTTATTTACATTTGACCTTAAACTTAGAATGATAGAAGAAATATTTTCAATAGACGCGTTTCGTACGCGTCGCTTATGTCGTCGTCCGGTTGATAGGTGTTTCGCAAAATGTCTGCTACAGCAGCAGCTCGTCAGTCACGGTGCACGAGCTGCGAGGTAGATCATTGCAACGTTTGTGGACGTCCGCAGGGAATTGTCTAAAGGCGGGTGCATTCTTCGGCAAGAGATCATTTTTTGTGGATCTCTACATACCTGTTTCCAAAACTTTTGGACAAGCGGGAATAGCAGGGGGGGGGGGGTAGAACTTTTAAGAATCTTAAAAATTGTACACAAAATCACGCTAGATATGCAAAATTTTAATTGTATGAGCCCTGACTGACTGAATTCTAAGTCTACTTATTTTTTTGTCGTACATGTTCGTAGCTAGTAATTTTTTCTGAGACAGACATATAATCCATTGTGAACTAATGACAGTGTTGTGTAGAAAGTGCAGAGTCATCCTACTTAACACCATTTTTTATTTAATTTGGTCCTCCTCGCATGTACATTGTAATGTGACCAATAAATGGTATGGTATGGTAACGCTACTCTATAATTCGACTGTTATTGTATTTTAGGCTGCATGCTGTCAATTGCACATCGCCGCCTTGATGTCAGAGTACCTGAAACTAAAAAATGTGCAAAACTGGGGCGCCGAAGCTTTTGAAAAAATCTCTTCGAATATTCCGAAGGACGAAAAAGGTCTGAAACTCGACATTGGGGTCCAAGATGTACAGTACACTGAATATATTCTTTTGGAGCAACTCGAATCATGTGCTGGATTTTTAGATAAGGCCGAAAGATATGAAGTGATAGGTATGTTCGAAAAACGTTGTGGCATTGTCTCATTTATTCTGAATTGTGATTTGTCATTCTGGATGTTGTACTTTTTTCTGTCTAGATTAGCTAGTAGTACAATAGAGGTTTTCGGAAAAGAGTCGCAAGTTCCGCATACATAAACGTTTACGTTCGCCTTGTTGACATTTAGGTCAATGTTTTGTGTAAAAAATTCTACATTTCATAGTTAGGTTGAAAGTAAGCCATTATTGATCGAGCTGACCTTTGTATTATAGGGCACGTGTGATGTTTTTATTACAGACTCCCTATACTAGTGACTAAATAATAAACATTTCCTAGGTGAATTGTACAAATTAATAGTTCCAATATACGAGAGAAAACGAGAGTATGAAATGCTGCAAAAATGTTACCAGACGCTGGCTCAAAATTACGGGAAGGTGGTGGATGTAAATAAAAGCGGTAAAAGGCTGTTGGGAAGGTACTATAGAATTGGCTTTTACGGACAAGCCTATTTTGAGGAAGAAAACGGTGTCGAGTATATTTATAAAGAACCAAAGGTGACGTCGCTGAGTGAGATTTCCGAGAGATTGTACAAGCAGTATTGTGATAAGTTTGGCGAGGATGTAGTCAAGATGATCCAAGACTCGATTCCGGTAAGCATTAAAATTAATTTTCACGGGATCTCAAAATTTGAAACGACTCGAGTTTTGAACACCAGTATAGAAACACATGTATACTTGTCTGTATAGTTATGGAAAATGGTCCCTGGTTATGGCGGGATGGAGCCATGGAGCAAGGTCCCCTCACGATGCAATCATGGGGGAAATTAACATTAAGCCGTAAAAGTATAACAAAAACAATTTTACAAACACAAACTGTAACCAATACAGAGGCTATAGCGATACCAATCAGTTCTTATTGAATAAGCTAATTTGTCTTAAGCCAGTTTCTCTCACTGTCAAGCCTTATTTTGCAATCAGATCAACCCTCGAAATCCAGCTACATGCACCTCAAACTACCGAGTCCATTCTCCAGCCTCCATCTCAAATTCCTACAAGCCAGCATACTGAAAAGCATAATATTAAAACCAGTAGAATAACAGAAAATACGAAACTCCAAAGAATATTTTATACATTAAAGAAAATCAGCTGTATGAGGCTTAAAAGTCAAAATAGATACAGATAAAAAAAAACATGCAAAATTTAGGACAAATTCAGTTTTTAATTGTTTCTGACAGATGATATATATATATATATATATATATATATATATATATATATAGATATAGGTGAAAAATTAAAGCTTCCGCCTTTTGTTGGGTACTTCGACAAAATTTAAGCAAAGAGGACTCTTTATACTTTTTTTTAATTCTCTCTAGCTTTCAATGGACTTTGCCATCATCATCAGGAGCTGCAATTACAATGATAACAGTAGCAACAAAAGTGTAAAATGAATTTAAATTGAATCAACTTACAGTAGTATGTGAGGATGTTGCTAATTGTTGTTTTCGTATAGGATGAGGGAAACGTCCAGTAACATGGTGAGAGCTGGATACATGGTACAATGGTTAAAATTATATAAAATATGACAAGACAAGTTAAAGACAGATTAAAAATTATTTAGAAAACATTAGAGCATCACGTCGTGAAGCCACTTGATGATTGCACAAAATGGTGGTCATGGTAATGAGTGAGATGAACCTTTGACAGAAGGCCGAAGGTTGTCAATGTCTGTGTTGAAAGATGGAAAGAATTGTGGGCGTGTGCTTTAATTTTTCACCTAACTGGTTTAGACGACAATGACCACGTCTCAAGTTATATATATATATATATATATATATATATATATATATATAACTTGAGACGTGGTCATTGTCGTCTAGACCAGTTAGGTGAAAAATTAAAGCTTACGCCTTTTGTTGGGTACTTCGAAGTACTTCGAAGTACCCAACAAAAGGCGTAAGCTTTAATTTTTCACCTATATATATATATATAATCTTCCGGAACTTTCACTTTTATGAGTTTTACTTGTTATTGCCTCAACACAACAGAAGGTGTCTTTTTGTTTGTTTATGAACATATGTCGTTAATAGCTTTTCTTATACAGAAACGTATTTTGCAATAGTACAATAGAATAGTGCGAATTACTTTTGAATCTAAATTGTGTATTTGTGCCTTCAGGTTAACCAAAACGAGTTGGATCAAAAGCTGGCATACATACAAGTTACCCATGTAATACCATATTTTGAGAAAAACGAGTTGGAAGCCCGATTGAATGATTTCGAACAAAACCACGATATAAACTGTTTCATGTTCGAGACTCCATTTACGAAAGATGGAAAAGTCAGAGGGAATCCTGAAGAGCAGTGGAAGCGAAGGACAATTTTAACTAGTAAGTAATGGTCACGCAGCTTATCTTTTGCATGACAGACTTATAAATGGTGGCGTTCAATCAAATTACTGAACGCCATTCTAATATGCGAGGTGAGCATTGTAATATCGAAAAAAAATTAGTGGAGTCAGGACAAGTTTCATGCTCAAGTTGCGGTATCATCAGTGACGCTTAGAACCGGTTGAAAATTGTTTGTTCAGCTGTCGAATCTATCAGTTATTTTGGTGCAATTTCAAAAATATTGAAATATTTCATATTTTTTTATGTGCGTAATTCAAAAATAGGCTTACATTATTACGCGGGCGGTACCGAGTCAGTCTACTTGATTAAATTTTCTCTCCTTGCGAGAAGAAAAATTTAAACATATCTTTATAGCAGCTACGGCACTAGAGCGATTTCACTTTAAGGTATTTGCCCTCTATGCCGTGTTATACTATGTGCTAGGATCGTGTCTGGAATTTTGTTGATGACGTCATGACGAGCGACGTAGGCACAACGGGGAGTAAATACGCTTGGAAGACAGAACATGGTGGTTAGGAATAAATGGTGAAACGATCTGATTAGAAAGGAAAAGAGGAGAGTTATGGCTCATTTTGATGATTTTCAACCAACATATGATAGCAGTTATTGCTCTTTTAACTAACCGAAGCATAAAAATGGCATACAGTTATTTTGACATTTCAGAAAACACTCCTGTCATATTATTTCTAGCGTGCTTTTGGTTGTCTCGCTGCTCATCCTCCATATTCTACTGGCCACCAAATGAAAACAGACAGAAGTAAAAGTTTACAAACATTTCATCCTCCTAGGTGGCCGTTTTTCAAAGTACAATATATTGTCACTCATGTTGGATTGAATCGTTCATTTCAAAAACCACATTTTTCCAACATGCTTTTTTTACTGGAAGATACTAAAACGTGTAGAATGAGATACGACGTAACTAGTAATGCAAATAAGAAAGAACATAGTGCCACCTATAGCAGAATCGACCATTGCGAAAGTGGAAACAGCAAGCTGTCTGTTGGAACTGTATGCCAGTTCGGACTGTCAACCGGCAGGAGTATTACCTAACTTGAAAAGTGACATTGTCAATTTTTTTGACATTATGTAGCTTTTTCTAAAATCCGAAGATTAATAGTCGTATGCACCGTTTTCAGAAAAAGCTTTATTTTGCTGAGTCAACGCAACGACTTCGTTTCGTATCTCAAGAACATCTTCGATCCGCAGGGGTGTTACGTCACTTGAAAAGGGACATTGTCGGTTTTTTTTACAGATGTAGGTTTTTTATGACACTATGTACGTTTTCCTACAAGATGTTAACTTGGAACTAGCTATCGTTCACTTCATGCTCACTTGTAGCAAGCGTAGAATGACCTGTTTGCTCACTATCCTACCTAGTCAACAAGTTGATATTCTGTTTTTTTTTTGACATAATATAGGTTTTTTACGTAAGATGCCGCCGATTCTGGTGCTGTAGTAGATACGGTCTACTCGCAATTACTTACTTATTTACTTCATTAGTAAATGCATGTTTGATTGTAATATTCAATAACAAACAATAAAATATATGGTTAACAGGGTTGTTTTGCCTAAACCACTAACCATATTTTCTGCTAAAACAAGATTGGTCCAAAACATGTTTTTCTCATTATTATTACTGAAAAACTGTGACGGTTATTTGACATTCAGTCATATAAAACTCAAATACTAGATTACGCTCGAAACAGCTTCTTCAAAACTGGTTCATTTGTAAATAACACAGTTTTTATTGGTTCCTGAAACAAAGTTTTGTGACTTAATAGGGTTCTTAAAATGACTGATTTATTTGTGTAAACAATTGTATATATCAAACTCTTACCAAACGGGTATCGTATAGATCTCATTCTATTATAGGATGTGTTTAATATACTGCTACGTGTCGGGCTAGAACGATCTTAGTATAATTGTAGCATGATTTGATATGATGTTCCAGTATCTTTTTATGGTCGACTAAAAATTAGCTACATCTTGATAAAGTAAATTATTATAACGTTTTCCTTATTTATAATAATAATTTTATAGCCGTTCTTAAAAACATCGAATTTCATTTTTATAACAAAACACTTCTCTCAGTCTAATAATTTTGTTGTAGAAAATCGTACTCTACTCTCCATCTCGTTAGAGGTCATTTTTTGTAATTTCTGTCGACCGTAAATGCGAGAGCTGAGGGTGGCTTGTGCTATTTCCGGTGCTCTGGTGTAGAAATTTGTATGCGGCTCACTGCCCGATCCTGTGAATAGTTCACACGCTGAGTTGCAGTTCAAAGGGTGGGGATTTAACCGTGCAGATGATTACACACAATCATCGAGCGGAGGGGGACCGCCTATAGGGTTAGTCCAAGGCGAGTTTGAGTGGGACAGTTCCCCCATTTTTGGAGAACCCTCATTGTTAGAGGGGCCTACCCATCAGTTCTACCCTCCCGTTTTACCCTCCGGTTTATGGGGAACATCTGGAACTTCCTATCAACGGTAGCCGATCGGAGATAGCCAAGTTTTTTTAAATTTTAGTTTTTTTTATAACCATTTAGCTAGGGGGTAATACATATATTCATTCTTGTTAGCCTATCCTCCAGGACTTCTCCTAATGTTTTTTATTTTTATGGTTTTCCGATTCAAGAAATGTCTGTGTACCTTGAGTGAGTTGGTACCTTTTTTATCGCCAGAATCCCAACAGTGATGCCTGTTATTAATTCCATTTCCTAGTTTTTGGAAACTAGGTGGCGCCCAAATAACCATTGCATCCGAGAACCTCACCCTGAATGGGCTCATACCCACCAACAGAGCACACAGTTTATTCGGGATAACAGTGATGTTTATTTTACAGCCTCATATTCGTTTCCCTACGCAAAAAAACGCATAGTCGTCCAGTCCCGTTCCACAATCGAATTGGCCCCAATAGAAGTGGCCATCGACGAAATGCGGTCCCGAGTAGGCGAACTCGAAGAGACGGTGTTTTCGAAACGACCGGTGGATGCCAAACGGCTGCAGTTACTACTGCAGGGCAGCGTCTGCGTGCAGGTGAATGCGGGGCCGTTAGCGTACGCGCATGCGTTCTTGGATCCGGTACTTAGCGGGATGTATCCGGACGAGAAGGTGGAAGAGCTCAAGGACGTGTACAGGTGAGTGGATTTGAGATATCTACCTGATTTTACTCTGTCGCTACATCAAGATGTAGTTATGAGTGTTGTCTACGGGATTCCAGGACTACCAGATTCTACGCGTCTTCAATTGTAGATGTGTACAAAACCGTCTGGGAAAAATCACATTTTTATTTTCAATTTAATGTCTCTTGCATGGAGGTAATTTGCTTGACGTCAAGCTTCCCCAACAATAATTAATTTCAACATCTGATCTGTCACTCGGTGAAACTATCTGGGGCCGAGAAGGTACATCGCTGTGTGAAATAATTCAAAAAGAAGAATAAGAGGTTTGGCGCTCCGGTCCCTACCTGTTCATTCTAGTTAACCTGAGCTGGCCTGTAAGATAACCTATGTCCGAAAAGTTTTGGCACAAAATATTTCTCGGATTTTTTTAACGAAGAAATTCATGTAAACACTAACTAGTTATCATAAATTACAACTCAATACTTAACTATACTATCGAATTATGTAGAGTGGTCCATTTTACTCTAACAGACGCAACTTTCTTGGAATTTCTCTCTTGAGGTCCTGGATCTTCAGATCAATTCTCTCAGTTTTTCGTAAATTCGACGTCTTAACTGCTCTTCATCTTGGGCTTCCCAGCCTAGATGATAAACCTTCCTGGACAATGAAGCCCAAAAATGCTCTATTGGGCGAGCCTGTGGCAAGTTTAGAGGATTATCGTTTTTGGGAACAAAAGGTATGTTGTGTTGTCAAAGCCAGTTTTGGGTATCTCTAGAGTAATGGCATGATGCTAGGTCTGGCCAAAACATGATATGTTCGTGGACAAACGGAAGCAATTTGGAAAGGCAGTTAACAATATACAGTAATGGACAAAAGTATATAGACAAATGTGAATATTTACCTAAATACCTTTAGAAAACGAATTTATACTTCATTGCTCCATAAACAAACGCGTTATTAGTAGAAAAACTAAATTCCTCGTTTTTACATTATCTGCAATGAACACAATACAAGTCTGAATATAAGCACTTTTTTATGAGTTTAGTACAGTTTCGTGCCAGAAGAGGATTAGTTTGTGTTCATCAAGTATTGTGGAATAAGTTGAGTGATTTTAAGACCATGCCGCGTAGTCCAGAAATTTCTTTCGATGTGAAAACTAAGATCATTGAGTTATACAAAGATGGTCAACGTCAAGTCGACATTGCCAAAAATTTGAAGATGAAGCGTAAAGCAGTTTGGGCAATATTGAACAAATATAAACAAAAAGGTATCTTGGAAGCCGTTTAGAGAAGTGGTCGGCCTAGAAAACTAAATGCTAGATCAGTTAGATTAATAAAAGTAATTTCGTCCAAAGATCCGTTTAAAATCCTAATACAAATAAAAGCCGAAATCGGGACAAAAGGAATTGTCAGTGTTTCTACGAAAACTATAAGTAGAAGATTCAACGATTTGAAGTCATTTGCACGTCGCCCGAGTAAGAAGCCTCTAATTTCGAGGAAAAACCGTAAGGACCGATTACAATTTGCACGGTTGCATCTTGATTGGAGCATCTGTGACTGGAAGAGGGTATGTTTCAGTGACGAATCCAAGTTCAATATGATTGGAGCAGATGGTGTTCATTACGTTAGACGTCCTAGTGGACAAATATTGAACCCCAAGTACATTTTGCCCACTGTCAAACATGGAGGCGGGTCTGTTATGGTTTGGGGCTGCTTTTCGGGGTTTGGGATGAGACCTTTACCTAGAATAGAAGCGTGTCATGTTACCCTATATGGAAGACAATATGCCCTTAAGATCAAACTTCCTGCAAGATAATGACCCGAACCACACTTCAAATCTCGCAATGAATTTTTTTCTGGATGAAAAAATACCAGTTCTCAAATGGCATTCACAGTCTCCCGATATAAGCCCCAATGAAAATCTATGGGAATACTTAGATAAGCAAATGCGAGATAAAAATTATTCAAACAAGGATGGACTTTTTGCCGCTTTAGAGCAAAAGTGGAGACACATTGATAAATCTTATGTCAAGAAACTTCTACAATCTATGCCGAGATGATGCCAGGCGGTGATTGATAATAATGGTTATGCTACAAAATATTAACACAAACATGGTTGGTTTTCTATAATTCAATGAACTTTGCTTCTTTTTTCTATAATTGTTTTGCTTTGTATATATATTTTTTGTCTTTCATAGTTTCAGTTTTTTCAATTAATTTTTTATTGAAGGGAGTCTAATGAATTTATTTTGTATAAGTGAGTATTATGCTATAGCGAATTATGTATACAGGTTGGTGTATTAATAAAACAAGTTAAAAAATAAATACAGCCCAATATTAATTTGTCTATATACTTTTGTCCATTATTGTAGCTCTGACTATACAAAGGTTCACTCCTCACTCTTCCCACAAAAGGTTGTGATTCACCCCTGTTAGACATTGCGCGCCAGACAAGGATTTTATCTGCGAATTTCGCTTTATGTTTGACATTCCTCTACGTTATCCAAGTTAAATTACTGCTACCGAATTACTTGTTTTTTAAAAAAACTTTATTTCGAATAACGGTACAAAAGGACTTTTGTGAAACCTTGTCACGACGATGCGTAAAACAGGACGGTTAGGCGCGATATAAGATTCCATAGCGTAGCGACAATGCTAGCAAGAAATGCAAGTACCCAGATAATAATTATAATATTATATAAAATACAGGGTGATGATGGATATAACTCCTCCCACCTTAAACTCTTAGAACGTCCTCGTTCTTATCGATCTCAATAGACTGATTTGACTTTCAAGATGATTTTTTCTCTTTACAGAACTTTTTTTTTCAATTTTACCACAAGCACAAACAATATAACAACAAATACACCTATTATAAGAGTGCTATTTACATGAGAATGGTAATTTTTAATATGGGTCAGTTCCTTAAGACTAAAACTAGGTACATTTGTCATCTGTTTCTGTGATAAGGATATTGTGCGCTGGATCAGTCTGAGATAATCTAAAATTTCTCGTAAAGGAATAAATAGTCTAAAAATCGAACTTTCATATTCGTAATCATAAATTGACTTCTTGACAGTTTCTGATAGTAATTGTACATTGTTTTGAATGACTTTCATATCGTTCACAAATTTTTGTGAAATGAGCTGAGCGAATGATTTTTGATTATTGATGGCTATTATAAGTTCGTTTTCCTTGTCCTTTAATGATTGAAATTTATCATTGATTTCTGTAAGGTCATCTTGATCTAAATTTCCTGTCACATACCTAATTATGCTGCCAAATCCGTTAATAATTGCTCGACGCCTTCTGCTGTGTGAATGATAAGGTGATAATTTTAAATATTCCATTTTTACATTATTAATATTTTTGTATAGGTCCTCTAGTACCGGTTTGAGGTTGATATCATTAGAACGGTTTACTACAATACTATAACTAACTTCTATCTCTCTAATAACATCAGCTATTAAGCTGAGATTATGGCTAAAATTAAACGTATGATAATGGCTTATTAATTTTGCGTCCCCCAACGGCTCCGGGTAGAAACCCTTATTGGTTGGGACTTGATGAAGCCTCAGCGGAAGACTCTGCGGCCATAGGGTTGCCCTGTGAAGAAAAACCCTTTTTTACTCTTTTAATCTGACGCAAATTCCTTCTAGTGCGAACTGGTTTTTTGCTTAGAGTCTGTAACCGCAAGGTATTGTCTTTCTGATTTCCAACTTTGGATTTCACCTGTCTAGGGTTGATTTTCGTAGTCCTTTGTCTGGACTTGACAAAAACCGTAGTCTCTTTTGGAATTTCCGGTCGTTCAGTGCGATTTTCGTTTCTCTTTCGGAGAACCTTTTCAGCTTTTTCCTTACAATTATCGCTTACCGACTGATGTAATAGTTTGAGCTCGTCAACACGCTTTTGGTTGTATTGTTCATATACGTCCCTACTTAATTCGATATTTGTTACATTTGTTCTGTTGAAAGGAATATAGATGAGTGAGTGGGGAGAAAAATTCGTTGAACTATGGACACTTTGATTATAATTCAAAATCGCGGTCACCATGAGCTCCTTTATATCTGTTTTCGGGTTTTGAAGCCTTAAAGCACTTAATTTTTCTTTAAGGGTACTGTAGAACCTCTCAACGGGAGAATTAGATGAAGGATTCTCAGGAGTGGTAAAATGTATTTTGATTTTATGTAACTCGCAGAATTCTTTGAAAGTTCTGGCTGTGAATCCGACTCCGTTATCACATTACGTAGTTTTTCGAGCAAAGTTATTGAATTCTCATCGGTAATATGATAGGCGCCCATATTTAGAAAATAAATCCAAAATAGTGAAAAACTTGTTGCTATCAATTTTGACAGTAACAACGTGAATAATTTCGAACGGGTATTTTGCAATTAGCGGCCCTCCATATGGCGGTTTGTAAGGATTCCTATCGTATTTAGCTAAATTGCAGGTCTCGCAGGAATTGATTAATGCGTTTATAGAATTTTTCATGTTGGGCCAATAGTACCTTAGTTGAAACGTCTTTAGTGTTTCTTGAATTCCGTTATGATTTTTTGAGTGATATTCTTGGACTAATCTTGTTTGTTCCCCTTCGTCGGTGATATCTAAAAGTAGTTTATTTGTAAAAATTAGATGAACCTCGGGGTCAAACAGGGAGCGTACCAATTGTGTGATAATCGGTTTCAAGGGTTCATTATGGCAGAAGATACCATATGTATTTTTTGGATCGACATACTCGATAAGTGTTTGTGATATCTGAGAATGTAAACTATCGGGCGAAAGCGTCACATATAATCTGTATTTATTTTTGAAAATCTCCTTTCTGGTAACTTTGTAATTATCCAAAATTTTGAACTCAAATTGACATTTAAAGTAATTCAGTGGGTTTTCTGAAAAAGGAAGTACATTAATAGGGTGTTCGTAATTATTATTGTTCATCGTTCCCGATCTAGAAGGATTGTATGAAGATGACTGATCAGAGTGTTCTACTTCCCCTTGTATAGAAGTTTGGTTAGT